AAGGCCTGCAGGGGTCTGCCCTTGTGCATGGATGAACATGCTCCCTCAGGACTGGGTCCATCGCCCTGGGAGCCAGTTTGTGTAAGAGCAGTCTGGGATTCTTCTGCATGCTTTCTCACTCATATGCTTTCTTGCCCTCTGCCATGTGACAGTGCACAAGAAACCCTCGCCTGAGGTGGGACCCTTTGACCTCATATGCCCCAGCTTCTGGAACTCTAAGAAACAAATCTCTTTTTTTTATATATATATCTTATCAGATATTCTGTTACAGCAGCACAAAACAGTCCAAGACACCCAATAAATGCCAGTTCCCATCTCACCTTCCACCCTAGCCCTGGCAACCATTATTCTATTGCTGTTATTGTTTTGCATATTGCAGATCAAACCCAGGGCCTGGGCAGGTGCTGTGCCACTGAGCTACATCCCCAGCCCCACAACATTCTAGTCTCTCTGTGTGTGAATTTTACCACTCTGAGTACGCCACATAAGTGAGAGCATATGATATTTGGGAGACACTAGCTTTTTTGTTTTTAGTACTGGTGATCAAACCCAAGGCCTTTATACTGAGTGACAGTCCCAGCCCTTTTGAAATTTTATTCTGAGACAGGGTCTCACTAAGTCCTTAAATTGCTCAGGCTTGGATGAAACTTTCAATCCTCCTGCTTCAGCCTCCCAGAGTGCAGGGATTACAGGCATTTGCCACCAGGCCCAACTGACACTAGTATTTTTATCTGCCAAGTGATTAAATATGTTTGGAATGCTTAAACCTCTTTAGATACAAGAAGCCACATTTAATCCAGCCTTTTACTGTGGGTAGTCATTTAATCAATGTGTGAAGAATGTTTACTGAGCCCCTGTGCTGTGTATTGGGGATACAACCATGAATGGGACAGAAACATGACTGTTCTCATGGAATTTCCATTCTACAGGAAATGACAGGCAGTAAAAATGAGGAACACACAGATCTGAGAATTTCAAGTATGACAAATACCAGGGGGAAAAAGAAACTGCTCTGTGAGTGTGTGTGTGTGTGTGTGTGTGTGTGTGTGTGTGTGTGTGGCGGGGGGAGGACTTTGGCAGTGACATCAGGCACAGCCCTGGGCATAGGAGGACACTTGGGCTGAGACCTGGAGGCTGTGAAGTTTTACAAAAGTGCCAATTACACAGGTGCTCTCGAAAAAGAATCAAGGGCAGGCACGGCCCGTTCTGTTCTCTGTCTCTGTGCAGAAAAGTGCAGACCAAGTAATCTGTCAACAATAGGAGTTAATTTGCCTAACAGTTCTGGAGGCTGGGAAGTCTGGGTGCACTGTGCCAGCATCTGGCAAGGGCTTCTGTGCCGAGTCACAGGAGACAGAAGGGCAAGATATCACAGGAGAGATGGGAGTCAGACAGATGCACCCTTATTAGGGGACTCACTCCCCTGATAAGGTGTTAAAGCATTCAAGAGGTGACATCATCCCCCTTTGTGTGTTTGTGGAGAGGGTGCTAGGAGTTAAACCCACGGCCTTTACACTCAACTACATGCCCAGCCCTTCTGACTTTGCACTTTCAGACAGGACTAAGTTGTTAAATTGCCTAGGTTGAGCTCACACTGGTGATCTATTTGCCTCAGCTTCCCAGAGTGCTTGGATTACAGGTCCAAGACACCACACTTGGTGTTTCCTGACACAAAAGGTCTCACTGCTTCACATTGTTACAATAGCATCATGAGTTTGGAGGGGACATTCAAACCATAGCAGAAGGAAAGCAGCAAGTGCAAAGGTCCTGAGGCAAGGCTGAATTTGAGTCATTTAAGGAACAGCTCCGAGGCCAGTGTCTTCAGTGAACCAGTGAATAGTGTAAGGGAGAGAGGGGTGGGAGGGAAGAGATCTTGCAGACCCTACCCATCTTGATATAAACGTGTTTGTATTTCTCTTGGGTAAATAACTAATTGTTAGATTTCTGGGTAGGTAAGTGCTTAACTTTACAAGAAACCACCAGATCAGCTTCCAAAGTGTTGTTCTGTTTCAGATTTCCACCAGTGGTGTGTGAGATTCCCATTGCTCCACCTCTCTGCCGAACCTTGATGGGGTCAGTGTTTTTAATTGTAGTCATTCTAGTGGGTGTGTAGTGGTATTTTGTTGTGGTTTTCATTTGTATTTCCCTAATGACTAATGATGTAGAACACTTTTCCACATACTTATTACTGAACATTTGTGAGTCTTTTATAAAGTGTCTGCTCCAAAATCTCTTGGCCACTTAAAAGATTAAGTTGTCTGAATTAGTTGCCTGCAGAGCCAGAGCCCAGGGATTTGCTCACGTTGACAGAGTGCTCAACCACTGAGCTACACCCCAGCCACATTTGCCTGATTTTTCAAAAGCTTCTTCTGACTTTTGAGGGGATGGCAAACTGCAGCTTCCACCGAGGTCACTAACCACAGGCTCAGCGCTCAGCCTGTTTTCTGAGACAGTTGGCTTTGACCTTCCCCTGCTGCTGGCGGGCTGCCAGGAGAGACTGGGCTGCTTTGCAGGTTTTGGGTGAGGCCCTCAGCCCAGCTTCCCACAGCCGGGATCTGTCTGGAGCACAGTTCAGTTGATGGAATGCCTTCCATTTCATCTTCTTCCTTCCCCCAAAGTGGGGGGCCTTATCCGCACACCTGGCCCAGAGAGCAGCTCAGTCCTGTGTTTCATGGTCTGCACCAGTGTGGTTGTTATCGGTTGCAAAAATATTTCCTTTTGAGCTGGTAAAAATGCTATAGTTCATATCCCATACATGCTTGCCACCACCTCAGTCCCTTCCCTTGGGAACCCTTGGAACAAATCAGCAACTAAAGAGGGCTTCCAGGACTCCAACCCAGCCCACTGGCCACATTTGTTCTCACTGGACGGTCTCCACGTGCCTTTGCTGTCTTTGGGGGACAGCTGAGGCCCAGTGGGAGTTGGAGGATGGGTTCAGGAGGCTGATGCAAAAGGACTACGGGAGGGATTTTTGCTTTGTTTGTTGAGACAGAGTCTTGGTATATGGCTCAGGCTGGCCTTAAACTCACTATGCAGCATAGGCTGGCTTCAAAATCCCACTGATCCATCCACCTGCTTCATCCTCCAGAGTGCTAGGATTACACCATACCTGGCTGATTTATATGGCTTTGTTTTGTGGTAGTGGAGGTTGAATCCGTGGCCTCACACTTGCTACGTAAGCACTTGTAGCACTGGGATACATCTCCAGTCCTTTGGATTTTCTTAATTTTTAACTTATATTTTTTGTTTTTTTGAGACCACATATCACTATGTAGTTCAGGCTGACCTTGAATTTAGTCTATAGCTCAGGGTGGGCTTGAACTTGAGGTGGTCCTTCTGCCTCAACCTTCAGAGTTCTGGGATTTTGGTGTGTGCCACTGTGCCTGGCTATGGAAGAGTTTTTATCAAGGGAGCCCAGAACTCAACCCTGGACATGCTAATAACAGTCATGATGATGATGATGATGGTGGTTAACATTTCACAAGCAATGCAAGCTGTCAGTCATCACTCAAATCGACCTAAAGTCCTCACAATAAATTTTACCAGCACAGTGGCCCAGTTTCCTGCTCCCATCTGGGCCCCCACAGTGTGTCCGCACCCACAACTAGAGAGAGCCTGTGACCACCTGAGCTGGGTCTCCCCAGCCTCTCACTGCCCCTTACTCACTCTGCTCAGGCTGCCTTGAGAGCAGGAAGCTGTGGGTCCAAGCCTCCACGCTCTGTCCAGGCCCTAATGGGTTCTGCAGCGTGTCAGGGCTCTGCCAGGCCTGGCTGGCTGCCATGAGCAGCCTGAGTCTCCTGCAATCTCCAGACACCCCCCCTCCCCGCTGGCACCCAGTGTCTGTCCCCGTGACCTGCGTCCAGCTTCCCCTTTCTCTCCAGGCTGGGAGCACCAGGGTGTGACTGTGGATGGGGGAGGGGGCTTCCTGCAGCTGTCATCCTCCGCACCCTGACCTCAGCTCCTTCCTCCTTTGTCAGCCTCAGCTTGGACTCCCTCAGGGGACTAGAAGTCTCTGTCTCTGTCTGGGTGGCCGCCTGAAACCTTGCTCCCGTTTCCTCATTGACCAGGGTGGCCCAGCTTGGCCCAGTGGTCACTGTGCTGTCCCCACCTGCCTCACCTCAAGCCCAAGCCTGTCTGGGGTGTGTGTACCTGTGATGCTAATTCTCACCCCTTTTCTCTGCTTTGCTTCAGTTTCAGCCTTTCTCTCTCTGTCTCTGTCTCTCTGTCTCTCTGTCTCTCTCTCTCTCTCTCTCTCTCTCTCTCTCTCTCTCTCTCTCTCTCTGGACCCTGAGCTTTACTTCCACTTTTGTTTGCTTTGTGACGTTGGGCAAGTATCTGCCTTCCTGCGCAGTGGGCATAAGATATCCACCATGGAAGAAGGGCTGGGAGTTAAACGATTTAACACTTATGACCGAGTCCTGTACATCATTAGTGCCCAGTGCTGGTGGCTCTCTCTTAATATCCTACAAGTACCACAAGGGTCTGATGATTTAACAGTAGTCATAAGTAGCTGATGCTTATAAAAAGCTAGCAAGTGTCAGACCTTTTTCTAAGTACGAAAATTCATATAATCCCAAGAAACCTACCAAATACATACTGCTTTAGTTCCAATTTAAAAAACATTTATTAGAACATAATGATGACATGCGCCACGGGGCGAGGGTACACGTACGCGACACACAGGGATTCTTTTTTTCATTCCCTCCCGCTGCCCTCTCTCCTCCCTCCATCTCTTAGTCCCTTTCCTTTTTGGAGGAGATCTGTCTTACATATGAAGAAATGGGCTTAGGGAGGTGAAATGAGTGCTAAGAAGAGGCAGAGCCGGCTTCAATCACTGGCAGCTGCTGGGCCTCTTGTTACAACCAAGTCTGATCCTCGATTGGGGATGGAGGTCAAGGATGGAGGCATGCCTCTGTTCGTCCTTTGCATTCAGCGTCAGGGGCAGCAGCTTGGCCACTGGGCATGATTCTTTCTGGTGTTCTACGTGTCTGTCCCTCCTCCTCCCGCAGTGTCCCCTCCTCCTCCTCCTGCCACCACCCGCCTCAGACTTCCTCCTTCACTTGCTTGGACGCCACACCACATCTACTGACCCCTGGACTGTCCGGCAGTGTCTCGATATCATGGGGGGCCTGGAACTCTTCTGGCAGCTTCCGTTTCTTCCTCTCCTTCTGGCTGTGGCTGGTGAGTTGGGGGCTTCTGCAGCCACCTCTCGATTCCCCAAGCTCAGCCAGGGGCAGGGCCTGGAGCTGTGTACAAAGAGAAACTCCAAGGAGAGGATTGGTGAGAACAGGTGCCCCAAAACCTGTGGGTCTCTCCCGGAGCCACAGAGATCCCAAGCTATGGTCCCTGGTACAAGCAGAAGGAGGGGACATGTGAGGATGTCGCAACGGGACAGGCAGGCACGGAAGCCACACATGTGCCACAGTCTCGACCCCAGTGTACCAGGTCCCACCAGACTCAGCTCTCCACCTTCCCAGGCTTTTATCCTACCTCAGCTCAGTCATAGCTCCATGCCTCAGTTTACCTCTTCTTCCTTCCTCAGGTCTCAGTCCTGTTCAGGCTCAGAGTGGTAAGGCTAGACTCAGCAGTCCCTCTGTCCACCTCTGTCCACCCTGCCCATCTTGTCCCAGACCTCCTCCTGCTGATACCCACCCCCAGTGCCCAGCACACACCGACCTCCCGACCCCTGTGCTGCACTCACAGAATGCACCTGCTCCCCCGTGAGCCCCGGGGTACTGGCGGGGATTGTGCTGGGGGACCTGGTGCTGACCCTGCTCATCGCCCTGGCTGTGTACTCTCTGGGCCAACTGGTCCCTCGGGGCCGCAAGACCGCCCAAGGTAAGTGGGGTGGGCTAGGGATACTGAGGACTGACCTAGTGGGGGCTCAGGATAACCCCCCATCACAGACATCCACGGGGACAGTGAGGGAAGGGCTGGCTTTGCAGATGGTACGCACCTATGTCCAAGCACTCTGGCTGAGGCAGAAGAATCACAGGCTCAAGCCTAGCTGGGGAACAACCAAGCAACTTAGTGAGACCCTATTTTAATATTTAAAAGACCTGGGGATGGAGCTCAGTGTGAAGGCCATGGGTTCAATCTCCAGGATCACAAACAACAACAACAACAATAAACAAACAAAACAATTCATGACCCTGTCCATCTTTGTATCCTTTCTTCCCCACTCCAACTCTAGTGACCCGGAAGCAGCCCATTACTGAGACTGAGTCACCGTATCAGGTAAGGAAATCACCCCCAGACCTTTCTCACCTCCCACTCCTGCCCACAAACACCCCTCCCAACCACCCCTAACACTTCTCTCCCAGCAGCTCCCCCAACCTTGAAAGCAAGGTTGGGATCTATCTAAACCCACATTAAGAGACTGTCCCAACCTTATGCTAAGCATAAAATGCATAGAGAGAAAATATGACTCTATGAGGTCAAGAAAAGAGTCCACAATAATAGCACAAGCCTATAATTTCAGCTCGAGATTCTGTTTCAAAACAAGAAATACGGGGCTGGAGGTTTAGCTCAGCGGCATAAGCGCCTGCCTTGCAAGCAGGCAGTCATGAGTTCGATCCCTGGTACCAAGGAAAAAGACACCCCCCCCAAAAAAAAAAACAAAATAAGAAATAAAAACGGTCTGAGAAACATAGCTTAGTGCAAAGCCCCTTCATTCATGATTCCTAGGACGGGGGGGGGGGGGGGAGAGCAAGATTAGGCCTGGTAAAGGCCCAGAGTTGTTCCAGAAGTCTGGCCCTAGGACATGCTGATTCCTGGAAGAAGGCTTCAGTGGGGCAGACGATAGTTCAGGCCTAGTTTGGCAACTCTAAAGAGAGGAGCCTCAGAATTTTTGGGGATAGTGAATCCTACATCCCTTTAAGAAGCTAACAAAAGCTACAGATTCCTAGGACAAGTACACACACACACACAGATTCCTCTGTATAATTGGGGTGATGCAAGGATCTTTGAACCCCTTCTTAAAAATCATGTGTGACCTTGGGATGTGGCTGAGTGGTTGAGGGTTTGTCTGGCACAAACAATGATGCCCTGGGTCCCTGCCCCAGCACCACAAACACAAAAATATCACAATGTGGGCCAGCATCATCCCAACTCTCCCCTTCCATCAAGGCTCCTCCTTTAGGGAGGGGTCACAGGATCCTCTGAGACCCTTTCCCAGAGTAAGGGATGTGATCCATTGGTACGTGATTCATTGATGCTGCCTGAGACCTGGCCCCTAGTTCCATAGACCCCCACCTTGAACCCTGTCTAATTTATTGTCTGCTACCAGCTTTCCCCATTTGCCTAACTTGTGGATAAAAAGTTTCTTTGCAAAGTATAAGGCATCTTGCTGGGGATATGGCTCAGCGGCACAAGTGCTTGCCTGGCAAGTGCAAGGTTGTGAGTTTGAATCCTGGTGTCAAAAAAAAAAAAAAAAAAAAAAAGAAAGAAAGAAAAGAAAAAAAACCCCAAAAAACAAAGCCCCAAAAACAAGACATCTTGACTGAGGTAAGATCCAGGTACTGAGGGGTGTCCTAGGTACTGAGAGTGGTAAAACTTTAGGGTGAGGTATTATCCCAATTTTATCCAGCCCTTCAGTATTTGCTGAACATCTTTATGGGCCACATGCTGGGGCCACAGCAACAGAGATTACAGCCTAGTTGAGGAGATAGATTTGAAGCAAATTAACAGAATCATTTTGGGGGAGCCACCATGAGGGAAACAAAGCAGGCTGATATTATAGTGATCAGAGGGGGCAATAAGAGGGGGAAAATTGAGAAATGTCCTCTGATGATGTGACATGAGCTGAGACTTGAAGGAGGAGAGGGAGGTTAAAGATCTCAGGGACCCATATTCTAGGAAGAGGGGATAGCCTGTGCAAAGACCCTGAGGCCAGAGCATAACGTTGAGACAGAGGGGAATGGGGAACACAGAATGTACTCAACTAAAATTCAGATCTGTTCCATACCTATAAGGGTGAAGCAGCTTGCAGGCCATTAGAAGAAGGTTGGGTTTTGTTTTAAGTTTATTTGTTGGGCCCCTTCTACTGATGATCTCCATCTCTTCAGGAACTCCAAGGTATGAGATCAGATGTCTACAGCGACCTCAAAACACAGCGGCAGCCATATTACAAATGAGTACAGGTCACATCTGTCAACACCTGATGCCTGGATCTGGCCATTTCTGATGCCCAAGAAGCAGATTATCTCAACTCCAACTGGGATGCAGAGCCACACAGTGCCCTCCCCCAGCCAGTACTGTGCCTAAATAAACTATGGAGAAGGAAAACAAAAGGCTGTTCCGTCTGATCCCTGGGCTGAGGAACTGGGGCTATGTGGGGTCCTGAGGGGTCTTTGGTCTAGAAATAGCTAAATGGGAGGAAGGCTTTGGGAACCCTGAGGTTCTATGAAGAAGAATAAAACTGGAGAATGTTAACTGTTTCCTTTCGATCCAGAAGGGAGGGGTGTGTGCCTGTGCCTGTCTTTCCACGCTGCCACTCAAGAGTTTAGCACGAGAAGGTCAGAAGTCAGGGTCGAAGTTGCAGGGGTCAGCCCCGGCCTGATATGTTGATGTAGACTCTGCTGTCTTCTGGGGGTGGGGGAGAGAAATCATGAACCTTGACCACCCACCATCTGCCCCACTTCACCTTCCTGGGGACCCCCTGCCTCCGGGGTTTCCTCAGGGGTTCCCCTAAGCACCTCCCTCAGGGTTTCCCCAGCATCTCCTTCAGGGCTTCCCCGGGAGCCCCCTCCATGGGACCCCCTCCCTAGGGACACCACCCTCCCTCCAGGCCACACCTAGTCTCTGCAGTCACCGTCCGGGCGGGGCTGTGGCGGGGCGGGAACTGGTACAAGTGAAGACCACGCCCACGATGAGCCGGGACCTGACCGCCTCTGCAACCACGAGGCCTGCCTGGAGGGCAGGGAAAGCGACCCACATCCGGAGCCGGAACCTGGAGGGTGGGGCCTAGGCAAAAAGATGACTGAGGGGCTCTAGATCCCCTGCTGTGCTTTTGGGCATAGGGGGAAGAGGAAGACCGGGGGACCGAGGTGGAGCCCAGATGCTGGGGTTACACCTGGGGGACTGCAAGGAGAGATGGAGATTTGGAGAGGCTGGGGTGTCCCAAGCAGTAGGGTGGTCACTGAGTCCCCGGCTTCAGTTTGGAAGTGAATAGGGCAAGGTGGGCTCTGGAGGGAGTTGCACATCTTCTGGGGGCTTGGATTGGAGACTGGGCAGCAGCTGGGGGTGCTGAGGACTCTGAGGCCCTCTCCTTCAGGGATGGAACTGGTACCTGGGTGCCAAAGGAAGGGAGGGATCTCTCACCTGGGGGTATCTGAGCTGCAATCACTGTGGAAAGCAAAAGTGGATGAGAGTGAACAGTCCGCAAAGTAGGGAAGGAGATGTCTCGCGCGGTAAGATCAGGCGAATGGCAGAGGTGGGCCAAATGAAAAGGGAGCTCCCAGGGACACAGAGAAGGACAGAATGTGAGAAGCACAAGTGTAACCCAAGCACTTTGTGAGGCTGAAGCAGGAGAATCCAACTTTGAATCTATGCTCGGCAATTCAGTAATTTAGTGAGACTTTGTTTCCAATCAGTAAATAAATTTTTTTTTTTTGGTCTTTTTTCGTTTTTATCGGTACCAGGGATCGAACTCACGACTGCCTGCTTGCAAGGCAGGCGCTTATGCCGCTGAGCTAAATCCCCAGCCCGTAAATAAATTTTTTTAAAGGGCTGGAAATGGACCTCAGTGCAAAGACCCTGGGTTTGATCTCCAATACTTACCCCATCCTCCCCACCCCCCTAAAAAAGAAATCTGGAACTAGACTGGCACTGATAAGGGGAGATTAGTAGGACACAGGGGAGATCACAGACTCTAGAATGTCCCATCCACCCCACGGGCCCAGGCCCTCTGATCCAGTGAATCTCCAGGAAGGGAAGCATCAGGGAAAGGGGTGCTTACAGCATCAATGCCACCTTTCCCACAGGTACTGTGTCCCTACCCCCACCCCCATCCTCAGGAACTGCTAACCACCTGACAGCAGAAGCAGAAGGATTCAGCCTGCAGGGGCCATAGTGGGCTGGAAACTAAGGGCTCTGGCTCACACTGTGGTCCAGAGAAATTCCAAGGAACAGTAGGGGAGCAGAGTGGTGGCAATAGCTGATGACACCCTGCAAGGCCACCTAGTTCCTGTGCATGTGTTTGTGGGGGGTGGGCGACCCTGTGACTGCCTTTGGGGAGTGATTGGTGGGATTAGAGAGCTCCAGAGGCTGCTATGGTTGTCCAGGTGGGAGTGACAGGTGGACAAGGGTGTGTAGGCATGGGAGGATTCTAGAAATAGCTCGGAGGTAGAGCCAAGGGTTGGCTGATGGAGGGAGTGTGGATGTGGAGAAGAAGGATCCAGTGTGACTTCGGCTTTTAGAGTAAGCAGCTGAAAAGGTGGAGTGGACTAACAGAGGATGGAGCAAGCTGGCGTGAAGGGAAGTGCTGAAGTGAGCACTCAGTGTTGAAAATGCCTGACACAGCTCCCTGTGGAGTTGCTGAAAGCCCACAGTGCTCAATTCTCAGTCTCTCTCTCCCTCTGCCCTCATACTGGGGATTGAAGCCAGGCCCTCACACTGAGCTACGTGCCCAGCTGTATATATGTATGTATGTATGTATGTATGTATGTATGTGTGTATATTTGAGATAGGGTCTCCCCAAGTTGCTACATTGTCCAGACTGGGCTGGAGCTTATAGTTGTTTTGTTTTTTTTTTTTAAACTGGGGATTGAACCCATGACCTCATACTTGCCAGGCCGGAGCTTGTGCCACTGAGCTAAACCCCTATCATGAAGGGGTTGGAGCTTATGGTCCTCCTGCCTCAGCATTCCAGAGTGCTGGGATTATTCCTCAACTCTTTTACTATTTCATAGGATAAATCTGTCTGGAAATGAGAATTCGAGACTAGATGGCTTAAGGATGGTATTTAAAACCCTGAGACTTGCCTGGCACGGTGGCACACACCTGTAATCCTAGCACTTGGAAGCTGAGACGGGAGAATTGCAGGGAGTTCGCGGCCTGGCCTACATAAGTGAGTTCAAGGTCAGCCTGCACTACATCATGAGACTTTGTCTCTAAACCAAAGAACAATAAAATAAAACAAAACCCTGAGACTGGATGAGATCCCCAAGGAAGTTTGTACAGAGAACTCTCCTCCTTTTCTAAGCACCCACAAGGAGAATGGAAGAAGAGGAGCAATCAGCCAGAGACGCTGAGGAGGAGCATGGAAGGAGCGAGATGACCCAGGAAAACAGTCGTGAAAGCAAGAGAAAAATCTGGACACCATGCTCAGTGCTGAGATGGTCAACGAGTGGGAACAGAGAACCACCTTCAATGGGAATGCCAGTCAGCTTGAGGGCTGGGAATTCCTGCTGACTGGTTTCATTCACAGCTTTCTACCACAGCAGCCAGCAAAGTGCCTGTAACTTTTTCCTTTTTTTTTTCTTTTACTTTTAAGATAGCCTAACTAGGTCCCTAAGGTGACTGCTGGGCTTCAACTTGCAATCCTCCTGCTTCAGCCTGCCAGAGCACTAAGCTTACAGGCATGTGACATCACGTATGCCGTCATGTATGATAGCAAATTATTTTAAACGATTAAGAAAACATGAAACTACTGAGGCAATGTGGGGGAAGACCTCCAACTCCGACACCAGGGGTTTGGAGCCCTGGCTCCCTTTCTAGGACCCAATAATACTGCTCTGCCTGTCCTCAGTCTAGGGTTCCAGAGTCAAAGCCTTTAACACGTGCTTGGACAGAGTCTCAGAAGTCCAGGCTCCCAATCCTCCCGGAATCAGGTGCCCTCAGCTCTTTCGGATCAGGCACCTGAGGTGCCCAGCTACCCACCCCCCTTTTGTGGAGTGGGGCGTTCGGGAGTTGAATCCTCCAAGTCAGACCCGCCCATTCGGAAACCGAGTTTGCTGGAGCGCGACACGGGGACTCCCAGGCTTATGGGCATGGCCCCGCCCGGGACTGGGCGGTGCCAGAACCCCAATTTAAAACCTCGCGGGAGACCAGACCCAACATCTGGGACGCGGCGGCGGCTCCGCGGGGAAACAGCTAGGCTGGCGCAGCGCCGAGGCCGCGGCCCTGGGGGCCCGCAATCCGCGCCACGGAACCCCCGAGGTAATGGATGGAGGGAGGAAAGGTGGGACACGCTCAGCTACTTAAGAGAGGCAAGCCGGGCGCGGGTACTTGGGAGGCTGAATGCGCAGGATGGCAAATTTGAACTCAGCCCAGTCAATCTGAAGATTTAGCGAGACTCCGTCTCAAAACCTAAAAGGTAGGGGGAGGTAGCTCAGTGCAAAGTTCTGGGTGCTATTCCTAGGACTGAAAATGAACAGTGACAGGCTGGGGTTGGACTCTGCGAAGGACAGAGCCGGAGTACCCTCCTGGGCGCTGAGTGCGAGTGCCGGTCGTTTGCAGGCGGCTCGGGACGGAGGGGGAATCCTCTTCCCTCTCTCCGTGCTCCTTCTCTGGACTCCTGAGTCCTGGGCGTCGGGGACGGTGGATCTGGAATCTGGGTCCCGGGTGTGGAGACCGGTGGGGGCGGACCTCTGGGCCCCGGGTAGGAGGAGCGGGACTGAGGCCTTGGGGGCGTGGTTGTTCCACCTCGGGCCTCCTCGGATTCGGTCGGGGTCCTGGCTGCTGGGGTCCACGCCGGCCGCGACTCTGCCCCAACCCGGGATTTCCCCAGGCGCCGAGCTCCCAGACCCCCGGGCTGCGCAGGAATTCCCCGCGCGCGGGGATTCCGCGAGCGCCACGCTCCGCCACGCACCAGCCTCGGGCCGCACACCTGCGCCAGGGGGCGGGGCGGTGGAAGATTCCCTTGCGTAGCGCCGTGACGTCAGCGCGTTGGGCCCGGCGGTTAACCCGTGCTTCCCCGGAACCTGCCCTGCGACGCTGAGCGCTCCGGGTCTGGGCCTCTTGGGTCCTGGGGAAGAGGGTGCTGGGCTCCGGGACCGCTTCGTCTGCAGAGTGCGCTCTAGACCGCTGAGCCTGCAGAGGTTCGGGTGGGCATGAGGTCTGGATCTCCGGATCCCTGATGAGTCCGGGCGCTGTGCACTCGCGGCTCCTTTGGGGTACTCGGACTCCTGCTTTCCTCGGGAGAGAGCAGCAAGCGGGTCAACTTCTAGAGCAGAGAGATTGTTGGGACCTACATGTGCATCTCTAAAGCGGCGATATTGGCGCCCCACAGTGGACGTAGACCTCAGGATTGAGTGAACAAGGGGTGGAATTTTTTACGGAAGTGGAGGGGGTTGCTGCCGTGGTGGGGACGCTCTCCTCCCCCTTCCTCAGTTTCCACGACGCTGGTGGAAAGTTGGGTCAGAGGAAGAGTGCAAAGCAAAGGGAAGGAAACAGCGGAGGCGGGCGAAGCACTCAAAATCTGTTGGCTTTGGAGTTCTCAGGCGGCATCAGTGTGCCAGTTTTTCCGCGCGGGAGGGCGCCCACATCCACCCCGTGCATTGGGTGCCTTAAGGACCCCTGATGACTCTCTGTTTCCTCCTCCCCAGTGAGCCGGAATGAGCGAAGCCACTGCCAGACACAGACTGTGAAGAAACTCCTGGAAGAACAGAGACGTCGCCAGCAGCAGTCGGACACTGATGGCGGGGCACCGGTGAGGCCTGGGGATCCCTATAGCTCATTGTAGGCCATGTGACGTCCTGCAGGAATTTACTGGCTTGCTGGTCCTTAGGGCCGATGAGAGTTTGTAGTCCTCACTCTGATACCCTGAATTGGGACTGATACCCTCAGTTAGAGCTGAGAATCTGCTCTATACAGAAATTCACGCTTGTTCATTTTTGCTTCTTCCTGTAGACCCAGTTCTCCCCTTCCTCAGCTCAGTCCTTGACCCCATCTGTGAATGAGGCAGAGGCTGGTAAGTATGGAAACTCACCTGCTTCCCTCAGCTCCCTACCAGCTTCCCCTCAGGCTCTTGGGCATCCCAAATTACAGAACTTTGGGGGACCTAGGGGCCAGGCCCTCATTCTTACTGGGAGTCAGTTAAGTTTGATTTTCTCATGAGCCCAGTAGTCTGTGCACATAGTCCTTTAGGAGCCCAGACCCTTGGTTACACCGCCATCTAGATTTCTGTGCCCTTGGTGTACCAGGATTTTAGGCCTCAGCCCTTTAGTGTCCCAGAAGTCCTAGCTCTAATGGTCTTAGAAGTCAAGGTGCCTTGGCTGTGACTCCCCCGCCCTTGGTAACCAGGCCTGCCCGGCCCCTCCTCTCACACACAGGCCATACCCACTTCTCAGCACTCCAGGAGACTCTGGATCCTGGACTTGGCAACTTGGCCCCCTCCACAAGCTTTCCAGACTGGGACCCCAACACGCATGCTGCCTATACAGACAGTCCCTGCTCTTACCCTGCTTCCGCTGCTGAAGGTTTCGTGACTCCTGATTTCTACCCACCCTCCGACTCAGAAAGGCCGGGCCCATTTCCCCTGGGGATGGAGGTGAGATACCAAGTAGGGAGAAGATGCTGATGACCCCTAAAAGTTCCCAGTTGTCTTCATGCAGCATTCTAAAATGTCAAGGGCTAGGGTAAGACCCCATTCCCCAGATGAGCAAAACTAAGATCCAGAGGTTCAAGGTCGCTCAATGCAGGGCCTGTGTGGTAGAGTGGGAGGAGAGTTGTCAGCTGTCTGATTGTGTCTACTACCTGTACTCTTCAGGATCCCCTGGATACTCGCCTCTATGCAGAACCCTCCCTACAACAGGCAGGATCTTGGAGAGTTTCTGGACTTCCCCCAGTCCCCCCACAGCTGGCTCCATGCTCAGGACCATCTCTGGATACAGCCCGAGCTCACATACTGGCCTTGGGGCCCCAACAGCTGCTGGCTCAGGATGAGGAGGGAGACACGTGAGTATATGGGAAAGTGGGGTATCTGCAGCCTCCTGGCCCAGCAGGGGCTGTTCTCACTGCTGCCCTCACCTGTCCTCAGGCTCCTGCACCTGTTTGCAGCTCGAGGATTGCGCTGGGCAGCTTATGCAGCAGCCGAGGTACTCCAGATGTACAGACATCTGGACATTCGTGAACACAAGGGGAAGGTGAGAATTAGGGGCTCAGAGCTCTGGATCCTGGAGAAGAGGGCAATGGAATCCTGAATTCTGAGTCTGAGGATGGAGGGGCCTGGGAGCCTGGATTCGTGGTTTTTAAAGGGGAGGCTTCTAGGAGCCCAGATTGATTTTTCCTGTCACCTGCAGACCCCTCTCCTGGTGGCTGCTGCTGCCAATCAGCCGCTGATCGTAGAGGACCTGTTGAACCTGGGTGCAGAGCCTAACGCCACTGACCATCAGGGACGTTCTGTCTTGCACGTGGCTGCCACCTACGGGCTCCCTGGGGTCCTTTCGGTATGGCCAGCCGGCATGAGGGTGTCTGGAGTGGGTTAGTTGCTCAGATGCTAGCTTCTAGGCTAGGAAGCCTGAGAGTCACTTCCACAGCATTCTTCCTCCTCCTTTTTCTCCCAGGCTGTTTTTAAAGCAGGCGTTCAGGTCAACTTGGAAGCCAGAGACTTTGAAGGTGAGCTGGTGTGGGCAGGATTGTTTGTGACAGGCGAGGCTGAGTAGGGTGGATACCGAGGTGCATATACCTTACTCTTGTCATTCTGCAGGCCTCACCCCTCTCCACACAGCCATCCTGGCCCTCAATGCTGCTGTGCACCCACCCAGCCTCTGTCCTCGGATGCTGAGTACCCAAGCTCGAGACAGACTGACCTGTGTCCAGATGTTGTTGCACATGGGTGCAGATCATACCAGCCAGGTGAGCTGGGCTGTGGGTGGCTAGCCTGTGGGAGGGTATGTGGGACAGAGCCAGCAGGGTGATCCAGGGCACTAATGGTGACTTTGTCTCTTTCTGACTGTATGACTTTGAGCGTATGACTTCACTTCTCTGTGCACTAGTTGTCAACTTGCAATAATATTACTGATCTTAATTTAATTTGTCAACCACTGACTATTTAACCAAGTTCTGAGAGTAATAGATTTATTTGGATTCTCACAAACACCTTTTGAGGCAGATACTATTTCCCCATTTTACTGACAAGGAAACAGGTACTGGGAGTTCAGAAATCTCAGAGCTTGTGTGTCAAGAGAGGAGAGTAGAATTCAGATCCTAATTCTGTTATCCTCCTTTCCCATGATAGTAGCTTCTTTGCAGGCTGGCCGAGAATTAAATATCACTTGGTTAAAATACTTTTTTTAGTTCAAAAATTGTGAATACAACCTGCTTGGTGGCACACTTCTATAATCCCAGCACTTTAGGAGGCTGAGACAGGAGGACTGCAAGTTCCAGCCCAGCCTAGACAATTTAGCAAGATCTAGCTCAGGATTAAAAATAAGTGCTGAGGGACTGGGTATTTAGCTCAGTGGCATAAGCACCTGCCTTGCAAGCAGGTGGTCATGAGTTCCATCCCCGGTACCGATAAAAAGAGGAAAAAGAAAAAAAAATTTTTTTTTGAAAAAAAAAAAAGTGCTGAGACGCAGTTCAGTGTGAAGACCCTAGGTTCAATTCCTAGTACTGGAAGAAAAGAAATTTTGAACACAGATAAAGTATAGGAAATGAGCTCCATGTACCCACCATCAGGAACCAGCAGCTCATGGCTAGCCCTGCCTCATCCGTTCTCTGCCGTGTCATTTATTTTTCTTTTTTGACAGTGCTGAGATTGAACCAATAACCTTGCTCTACCACCCTATGTTGTTTTTTGTTTTGTTTTGTTTTTTCCTTTTTATCGGTACCAGGGATCGAACTCACAACTGCCTGCTTGCAAGGCAGGCGCTTATGCCGCTGAGCTAAATCCCCAGTCCCAACCCTATGTTGTTTTTAAGCAAATCTAAATCCAAGCATATAAAATTACATGATTATTTCCATATATATTTGTGTCCTTTTCCATGGTGCTAGGGACTGAATCCACAGAGTACATACTTTACCACCGAGCTGCTTATGTTTTTAAAAGATAACTCTTTTACCCTCATTACTGTTGTCCTACTTTTAAAACATTGGTGTCTCATAATCACAAATATACTAGTTAGTGTCAGGTTTCTTTTTGGCTGTAAAGTGATTTTTTTTTTTCCCTTAAAAAAATAAGATCTAGGAGCTGGGGGTTTTGCTCAGTGGCACAAACGCCTGCTTGGCAAGTGCGAGGTCCTGAGTTTCATCCCTGGTACCAAAAATAAGTAAATAAATAGGATCTGGGGCCAGGGATTTAGCTCAGTGACATAAGCACCTGCCTGGCAAGCTTGAGGTCATGAATTTAATCCCCCCCCCAAAAAGATCTGAATAAAGGTCACATATTACAATAACAAGTCTTTTTTAAAAGTTACTGGATATTTGTGGTCCTGAAGATTAAACTCAAGACCATCACACTGAGCTACATCTCCAGGCTTTTTTTATTTTTTGAGATGAGGCTGGATTCAAATATATGACCTTCCTTCCCCAGCCTCCCAAAGTGTGTGTCACCACACAAGGATTTAAATTATTTTTAATATAGAGCTGCTTCTTCCATCTTTTTTTTTTCTTTATAACTATGTTGGTTTCCTTGTACAACATTTTTTTTTTTTTTTGTCTTTTTGAGACAAGGTCTCACTATGCAGTTCAGGCTAGCCTTGAATCACTTTGTAGCCTAGACTGGCCTTGAACTCAATAATAATCCTCCTGCCTCAATCTCCCAAGTGCTGGGATTACAGTCACACACCACCACACTTGGCAAAACCTTTAATATTCATTTTTAAAGAACATAAATTCTGCCAGGCATGGTGATACATGGCTGTAATCCGAGTACTCTGGGAGACTGAGGAACAGGGATCACAAGTTCAAGCCCAGGCAAACAGTAAGATCCTGCCTCAAAATTTTAGAAAGGATTGGGGCTATATAGCTCAATATGAAGGTCCTGGGTTCAGTTCCTGGTACTGTGTGACAGAGGGTAGAAAAAAAAGAACATATATTCCTTAAAGGCATGTAATAAAATTTTAAACATGAAGAGAATGACTCAGCATTGCAGTGGATATAGCTTAGTGAGTTCACCAATAGATGCACCCAACCCCTGTCCTTTTGGATAAAATACAGTCTGCATGGGACAGGTTGCATTTTAAATAGAATGCACGTGGCCAGGGCAAATACTGCCCTGTAGAGCTCCTTTAAGGGATTAAAAAAGCCAGTTTCTCAGACACTTGCACAAGAAAATTACAGTAAATGTACAGTTCTGTGATTGGTGTGCTATGAACTGCTGCCCCTTGAATTCAGTACTGTCCTGTAGTGCATAACGCACACAGCTATGTAAGGAACCCGGGGTGAGTCTTGGAGAGGAGGAATAGGGTCTCTAAAGGCTCTGGGTTCTTTGGGATAGGATCTGAGTGGAAGATTAGCCTGACTTCTACTGCTGGCCTTCCACAGGAGATCAAGAGCAACAAGACGGTTCTACATTTGGCTGTGCAGGCCGCCAACCCTACCCTGGTTCAGTTGCTGCTGGAACTGCCCCGGGGGGACCTACGGACCTTTGTCAACATGAAGGTGGGGGCCTGGGCTGGGTGTGTAGGTTGTACGAGATAGCAAAAGACGGTGGGATGTTGGGTGCCTGTGAGACATGAAGGGAACAGTGGAGGCAGGAAGGGGAATGCATGGGACACAGACCCCGAGGGGCGTGTGGAGTGTGGCTGGGAAGGAGACATCTGGGATGTGGAAGGGAGTGTGGGCCATGGAAGGGAGTGTGGGATGTGGAAGTGGCAGACATAAGGTGTGGGGGGAACCCAGCCGATTGAGCACAGATCTGCATCAGTTTGCCCTTCACTGTGCCAGGCCCATGGGAACACAGCCCTCCACATGGCAGCAGCCCTGCCCCCTGGACCTCTCCAGGAGGCCATCGTGCGCCACCTGTTGGCAGCAGGGGCGGATCCGACGCTTCGCAACCTGGAGAATGAGCAGCCTATCCACCTGCTGCGCCCTGGGCCAGGCCCTGAAGGGGTGAGCCTCACAAGGGTGTAGTGGCTGTGAGCCAGGGGGGGGGGGGCTGCCTCACCCAACCCTAACCTTAGTGGGTGACCTCAACCCTTGTCCATCCCTGACTTACAAAGTGACCTCTGACATCACTGTATGAACCCTCAGTATGGTGCCTCCTGATCTCTGCCCCAACCCTTAGTTCTGACCAGGATGTGGCTTCCACCCTCCCTCAGTGTGACCTCCAAACCCTCATCCCTTGTTCTTGAGTCCTAACCTCAAATGAGACTTCCAACCCTTGTCCGTAGCTTTTCTTCCCTTCAGTGCTGACTCTAAGGTGGGAGCCCCCGGCCAGCAGCTCCTGTCCCTTCCCTTTCCCCAGGTCTGATCCCTAACTGTACTATACACTCATTCTCCCTACTTCTCCTTCCTACCGCTTACACTTCTCACTCCCCCTTTCTTGTCCCCAGCTCCGGCAGCTGTTGAAGAGGAGCCGTGTGGCACCCCCAGGCTTGTCCTCTTAGGACTCAATTCAGACCTGGACTGATTTTCCAGTCCCCACCGTCCCGTGGGACAGTCAGCGTATGCTAATGATGCAAACCCATGATAATGTATGTGGAATGTCTTGCCATTAGGGTCTTACATTAAAACCCCAAAATGGCTGCAGGGGGTGCATAATCCCCAATATTTGGGGTAGTATGCTACCCCTCACGCACACAAGGAGCCTTCTTAATGATTTCTGTGAAATCGAGGCCCCTTGATTGTTTCTGTGAAACACCCCAGACCCCTCTAACTGCCACCCACCACGATCTTTCAGGATCCTCTCCCAGCTCAGCCCCCTGTACCCAGAACACAGATGTCATCGCCTTTGAGGTATTCAGGATGTCCCAGTACCTTCCCAGCAGGCCTCCTCAGATGGCCCCAAGGAGCCATACCCCTGAGATCTAGGAAAGGCCTTCTGGGACTCTTGTGACCTGGTTCCTACTGCTTTCTGACTCAGAATTTGGCAGAGTCCCTGTCCCAGACCTCCACAGTCCTAGTGAATCCCTCCCCTAATTTGAGTGTTTCTAAACTTTCTTATTAAACGCAATCAAACTAGAATTGCATTGTCTCATCTGTGGGGGCACTGAGGGTCACACATTTGGATGGATGTGCCTGGTGGAGCATGTAAGATACACTGATGCCATCCCCTCTCTGTCTACCCATGCAGCCCCTGGATTATCCTCACTTCCAGGACCTAAATAGTCAAAGGTCAAGGTGCCACAGTCCAAATGAGCATATTTCCTGGTTTGCATATGGTCATATTCCTGCTGTGACCACTTTGCCCTTTGAAAGGTATGGCAAGCCTTAAAAGCCAAGGAGTTCATTGAGGTAGAGCTCAGTGGGAGAGCACTTGCTGAGTGTTTGAGGTCCTAGGTTTGATGCCCAGCACTGTAAAAACAAAGGCTAGAGAGTGCATGTCTGCTTTTCAATCCAGTGGCCCACAATCAGCGACTGATCGAAGATAGTGTGTAAATACTCCAGTCCCTTAGAAGTGTACTTCTTGAAATTTTACTCAGGATCCCAGAGCCCCCCCAACAGAAGCTCCTGTTTTCTGTAGTGTTTGGGCTTCATAACATACAGTCTTGGCTGTTTTCCTTTTTGTACTGAGAATTGAACCTAAGGCCTTCACACTACGCTACATCCCAAAATGTTTTAATTTTTAGACAGGACTTGAGTCTCAAAAGTTACCCAAGCTAGGCTGGAATTTATGATTCTCCCTCAGCTGGAGTGTTGGGATTACAGATGTGTGCATTGCACTTGGCTGTTTCCCTTTCTGTTTTGTCCTGCCTCCCCTACCAATATCTTCATCCCTTCCTAATAAACTTGCCCTACAGTGCTTGCCTCTGTGTCTGCTTCTGGGGAAACCCACACTGAGACAACTCTGCCCACTATTCTCCTGCTAGCCCCTCCCCCCTGCCCCACGCTGGCTTTGTCACAGTCAGATCACCTGAAGTGCCACTACCCAGAAAGCTCCATGGCCTATCAGAGCCCACTTGCTCAGAGCCTCTCATAGACAACAAGCCAGAACATATTAGCACACTGCAGGGCAGGTGCCAGAGTCTGCGTCCCAACACTTCAGGTATAAAACAACCACTTCATTGTGATTCTGCAAACTTGAGCTGTGCTCAGCTGGCTGCACTGCTGTCTTGCTGTGGCTGCTCCTGGCTGCACTGGGGAGGAATTCAAGGCATCTTGTTTCAGCCGTCTGATAGCTCACAGACATGGCTGGATCTGCTGGGAACAAGAAAGCATCTCTCACTCCCTGTGGGTCTCTTTGCATGGTGGTTAGCAGGGGTTCCAGAGTGAATCCCAAAAAATTGCACTATGCTTGCCAATATCTCAGTGATCAAAGTCAGTGTCATGGACAAGCCATCACAAGAAGGACATCATCCCAGGGCATGAAAATCGGGAGAAAGAGTTATCAGAGGCCATGTCAGCTGCCCTGTGCCAGCACAAATGTGCTTTTGTATTTACTGACAGGAGTGGCAGCTGGCAAATGAACAATTCATATGAATGTGCTATATTTCACTGATTTAAGAAAAAATTAGTTGGAATCAGAATTCATCATTGTGTGATGTTTATTTTGTTTTATGTATTTTTGGTATTTTGAGATGGTCTCACTATGTAGCCCAGGCTGGCTTTAAATTCATAGTGGTCCTCTGACCTCAGCCTCCCGAGCGCTACCATAGCTGACTTGAATTGTGTGACCTAGTTTAATTTTTGCCTTTTTTTTTTTTTTGATGGTACATAAAAAAAATTCCTTTCCTCCCTCTTTTTGTTCTCTCCTTTCTGTCTCTCCCTTCTCCCTTCCTCTTTCTTTCTTGTGCTGGAGATTGAACCAATGGCCTTGTGTATACTTGATAATTGCCATACCACTGAGCCACATCCCAAGCCTAATAATACTATTTCTTGTTATTGATGGTATCAGAGATTTTGTTCACATATAAGATACATATTCCAATTTGTATAGTTATACACTGGGAGTTTGTCCCCTTTCAATTTATGTACTGGAACAATAAGCCCCAGCAGAATATTTGGAGGTAGGCATTTTGGGAGGCAATTAAGTCATGAGGATGTAGCCTTGCGATGAGATTAATGCCTTTATAAGAAGAGACAGAAGGCTAGGCATGGTGGTACATGCCCATAATACCAGCATTTAGGTGGCTGAGGCAGGAGGACTGCTATGAGTTCAAGGCCAACCTGAATTATATAGTGAGACCGTGTCTCAAAAAAAAAAAAAAAAAAAAAAAAAAAGAAAAAGAAAAAACAAAATAACGATAAACAGAAAGAGAAAGACAGAGACAGAGACAGGAGAAAGTAGCTCTTTCTCTCTGTTCTGACAGTGTGAGGACACAGGAAGAAGATAGCCAGCACAAATTGGAAATTGGGAAGAGTGGCCTCATCAGTCATAGGATCTGCTAGTACCATGATCTTGGGTTTCCCAGCCTCTAAATCTGTGACAAATGTTCATTGTTTAAACCACACACTATAGTGTTTTGTTATAGCAGCCCGAACTAAGACACATAACACACACACACGTACACACATGCAGTCACACACACAACCACCTAATGTGATAAAATGTCCCTGGAAAGCTACATTTTTGTATGTGCATGTGGCAGTAGGGATTAAACCCAGCATGCTAGCCCTAGGTTGTCCAGGATGGCCCTGAATTTGTGTTCCTTCTGTCTCAGCTTTCTGAGGAGCTGGGATTACAGGTGTGCACCACTGTGCCTAGTAAAAAAAAACTATATTAAAAGAACTAACAAAATCATTTTCAACTTGAAAGGAGGGATAACTTAGGAGCATCAAATGAGTAATAGCAAAATATTTTAATAACAGCATTTAAAAATTACTCTAAATATTGACATCACATTAAAAAATCATACTAGTCATATTAAGAAAATGGCCTTTTATTTCCAGTCTCATCTACTTGAAGTTTCTTTCCTATTGTTAGCATGTTACCACTCATGGTTGTGAAAATACAAAAGCAGCTTTTTCCCTGTCTTTAACCTCAGAATTTTGGGAGCCTGAGGCAGGAGGATAGAAAGCTCAAGACAGGCCTGGGTAACATAGCAAGACCCTGCCTCAAAAAAAAAAAAAAAAAAAAAAAAAAGCTGAGAAGTAGCTCAGTTCAACTCTCAGTATCAAGGGTGGGGGGAATGCAAACTGAATTCTTCAATAAAGCAGTGATATTGTATCCAATTTGCATCATAAAGATATCTCCTTGTACCTACTTAGATGTGCATTTAATATACATGGCTTATATTTGCATGGGTATATCATGAAGAATCACTGCTTTTGGGAGAATTAGGTTCTCCCTCCCCAAGCCATCTGTCAGAAAAGGGTGAGACACACGGATACCGGAACACAGCATTTTACTGCCATCTGTTGGGAAACTGTGGTATGAAGTCAAGTGTACTGTAGTGCCTATGTTCAATCTGCAGGCTGCCTTTTTTCTTTTTTCGTCTTTCTTTTTTCTTTTGACTGAAGAGGTAGTTTTGGGTCTCATGTGAAATACACAATGTAGATAGTTTGCTTCTTTTAAAATTATTTTTATTGTGACATTTAAAAACTGAGGGCAATTAGTTGCGTTTGTATGTACCTCTAACCCCAGCAGTCTGGGAGGTTCAGGCAGGAGGATTGCAAGTTTGATCCCTACCTTGGCAACATAATGAAACTGTCTTGAAGGTTTAAAAAGTGTCAGGAAGGCTGATGTAACTCAGTGTGAAGGCTTGGTGGGTTGCAGGTTGTATACGCCCACTCTGGTGAATGGTAGGTATTGCTTGGACTGGAGATTTGTTGTAGTTTTGTTTTGTTTTGTTCCCCCAACATATTCTTTATTTAGAAAGTTCACAAATGCTTCTCCTTTTTGTCAGATGGTTTTGCAACACATTAATACTTATTTCAGAACCCGAAAGTTGGTTCTTAAAGGCATTTTGCATTAGTATATTACTCTCTCAGAAGGATATCAGAAGTATTTTGTGTTGTGAATTCTGAGGCTATAGGAAGTGGGACCTAGCAATCCAGGTCATCGACATAGGTACCACTGGCTAATGTGACTCCTCTGGCTTACGTGCAGTTACTAGGCACTGTGTCTTATTCTGCAGAATTTTGTCTACATTTTTTCAGATTCTACATCTGGCCATCTTGGATTAACTTCTTAATTCTGTCCTGTTGAACAGGACTTAAGCTTGCAGGATTGATAACCCCAGCAACTTCCATAAATTTTCACTTCCATGTCTTTGATTAAATTAAAAAGTATATTATACATTTAACTGCTTTCAAAAACATCCTTAGTCAACTCTGGTTGTGACACATTTATGTCTGATGTATTCTTCAAAATTCTTTATTTTTTCTGTTCCTGGAGAAGAACCTGACACACCAAGGATTTTCCTTCAGGGTATACTTCTATTCACATAAAAATTAAGGTAATTGTGGAAGTTTCACCTATAAGTTGCCTAAAGTTTTCCCTGTTCTTTTTGGTGTTTCAGTGTGTTCATTAAATTCTTTACTTTCCCCTTCCTTTTTTTTTCAGCAGAGATCCAGATTTTCCAGCGATGGTCATTTTAGAGTCCTTTGTCTATCAAATCATGGCACAGCTGAACAATGTACTCTGATGGTCATACAGAAGGATATTTCAAGAAGACTCCAGAGTGCTGAAATTACAGGTGTGTGCTACCAAGCAATTTCTCCACATCTTCACCAATGTTTATTTTCCTTTCTAATTACAGCCGTTGTAAAGTGAAGGTTATCTCATGGTTTTGATATGGGTTTTCGGGATTTGTGCTCAGCATCTTTTCATGTGCAGCTGGCTGTTTAATAGTTTCTGCTTCTTATGAAAACTGGCAACACATCCAGAACTCAGGTATATTTCTCACTTTCAAGGCATTATTGCTTCATTGTGCTTTTCTTTGCTCTCCGTAACATACTATGCTCCATTATCTGAAATTGTGCATAAGTACTATATATGCCAGCAGTTTGACTTGACTTTAAGTTGTCCATTAAGCCTAAATGCAGCAAAACATGCATATTTGGAAATCCTTCAGAAAATTTCTATAGTTAGGATTTTTCTAATGCAAGTGTTTTTTTCAAAACTCCTTTAGCTGGATGTTGCCTTGAGTAATCGTCATCTGGATTGTATCCTCTTCTGTGGCACTTTTATTTCTTTTGAATTCTTCCCTTGCCCAGTTCTTCAGGTATTTGTGATCACACACATTTGGAGCTTGCCAGATTGCTTGCAAAATCCTTCTGCAGAGGAGGAGGATTTGTTGCCTTCTCAGGAACTGCTTTAGTGACAGTGTGGCTCCAAGTACGTGGGAGATGGCCATGTCGGCCTAATGGGCATCTGGCTTGGCCTGGAGTTTTGAAGTGCATAATTTGAAAACCACGTAGGGCAGCCTTGAAGTACTACATAGCCTAGTAAGTGACCGAGTGTATGCCTCAAAGCCAGGCTACCTAGAATAAATTCTTAGCTCCCATTTTTCGTAGATGGTGACTTTAGGTATGTGATGTAACTCCAACTTCTTAATCTCCAGACAGGGATAGATTGGTTCCATTTCCTTGGGGTAGAATTAAGCATTAAGTGCAGCACTGCGTGTAAAGCCCTTGGGGCTGTTCCTGGTCTAGGGTGAGCACCATTTGCGTGTTTGCATCTATAACATTCTAATTTATTTCACCAATACCTGCTAAGTGCAGGCATACTTAATATTTCCACATAGATGCCCTGTTAACCCTCATTACAATTGTCTCGGGACAGATATCAGCACAGGTAGAGGACCAGCTTCACCATGTCCTCCAGTGGAACACGAGAGGCTATGTGTGCTAGTAGGTGCTTGCTGACCTCGCACAGCCGTTGCTGGGACACCTGACTGTAGTTTTCAGTCCCAGGGAACTTCTTCAAGAAACAGTGAAGACTTTAGGAATGAGGTTGTTCAAGATTCCAGGGCCTGATGGTGCACACCTGTCACCCAACATTCTGAAAGGCTGAGGCAGGAGGATCACAAGTTTAAACCTGGTCATGGCAACTTAGTGACTTACTGAGACTCCACCCACCCAAAATCCTTTTAAAGGCAGGAGATGCAGCACAGTGCAAAAATCCTGGGTTCATTCCCAGTATGGGGATAGGGAAGAGTCCTCAAGGTTTTCAGGTTGGGGCAGCTGCTGTGTGTAATTGAGTGTGTGGGTTAAGTAAAGCTGGAGAAATTTGCCACAGCCCAACCTCCGTGGGTTTCATTCTGGCGACCAGCAGATAGACGTCTGGGATTGTTCAGCACCACGGAAAGCGCCTGCGCTCAGGCGCAGACGTCTACGCTCAAGCCTCTGGCCCCGGCCCCTGCGCGTCAGCCCTCCCGAGGCCCCGCCCAGATTTAAAGCGCCCTCATCCAGTTTACCGAGGCAAAGGAGCCTCGGGTAGACAGTCACCCGCTCCAGATGAATTTACACACTGAATCTCCCATAGAGACACAGATGGGCTGTGGGGACAGGGACTTTATTGGGATGTTAATGGGAGAATGTGGGAGAGTGAATTCCAGGGAGCAACAGACACTGGAACCAATGTGGTGATCACCCTAAGGAGCAATAAATTAACATAAATAAGGTGAGGAGGTACCAAATGAGGTGGCAGCGGGGGACACCTGCGGGACTTCTTAGGGAAAGAATTTGGAATCGGAAAGGAGATGTCAGAATGACATCTGTCAAGACCTCCCTTCCCCACCCCTAGGCTGGGAGTTGGGGTTGTGGGGCGCCAGGAAGAAATGAGGCCTGGGCTCAGGGTCGGTCCTCCAGGAAGCGGTAGGTAGGGTTCTCATAGCCATGCCGCTGCAGTTCCCGCAGCTGCTGTTCCTCCAGGCTCAGCATGGGGTCCACCTGCAGCAGGGGTGGAAGGGGGTTGGGGCTGGGGCCTCGCTGCGCTGAGCACAGGGTCTGTCCACACCCACAGCAGGCTTCGTGCTCTCACCTCCACCACCCCATGGCTGATAGCCCCATAGGGCTTCTTCCTGCGCAGCAGCAGCATGGAAAGCACGATGAGGGAGGCCCCGCCGGCTCCCATGATTAGCAGGCCTGACACGGCCTCTCGGGACACACCTGTCCCAGCTGGTGCCTGCGTGGAAAAGGACATGGGACCCAGCATACCTTTGAGGCTCATCAAGGGCTACTGCGGCTTTGGGAGCCACAGCCTAGACACTGGCCTCCGACATCTCTCCCTGAGTACCCTGGGCTATGCCTTCTCTTACCAGCTCATCTCTCTGAATCTCCGAGGAGTGGAAAGGAAAACCCCTTGGGACAGACGCATTCACCTGGGGGAGCAGGAAGTGTCATGGACCCCACCTTCTTCCTTCCCAGGGTCCAGGAGGGCAACACCCACTCACATTCATATCTTCAGCCGTCTCTTCCCTCAGACCAAGCACTCCAAACCCCAGCACCTCCTCCCTCACACCCAGGAGCCCAGGTGCCCACTGATCTTCCTTCAGGAGCCCACAGGTCCTACTCACCTTTAGCTCATATTGCTCTAGAGGGGATGTCTTCTCTTTCCCAGAGGATGCAGCATCTTGTTCTGTGGACCCTACCCCCAAAGTCCTATCTCATTCTTGATGATCCAGAGGGGTGCTGCCCCCACCTGAGAAGGGGGGTCAGAAAGGGCACCAGACTCCACCCCAGAAGATCTAAATTTATTCATGTACGGACTCTTGTCCACTTTGGACATAGGATTCAATGAGATTTTAGTGGCTGAGGTCTACCTTCTGTGACACTCACCTTTTGGAAGGGTCACAGGGGTGTCTTCTGGCAGCCAAAGGGTACAAGGCAGGTGAAACAATGAAGAGAAGGGGGCACCATCAAAGAAAGAGTGAAGAAACACCCTCCCAGGGACCAAAGGAGGACCGAGGACCCTATGGAGGTCTCCATACCCTGAGACTCTCCTCCCCTTCCTCTCCCCGTTACTGTGGTGGCTAGGACCCCCGCCCCCAGAGGATTAGTGATGAAGTTGGAGGCTTGTGGGGTTCTCCATATTTAGGCTCACTCACCATCCTTGGAATCTGGAGGAATCTGCAGCCCACTCTTGTCCTCACTGCTGCCCCCAGGTACAGGAGCTTCCAATTCACTGGGACCCAGGTGTTCTGAACGGAGGAGTTCTTCTAAGGGGAATATGCAAGGAGGGGTTGAGGTGGTCAGCATAGGAACGCCACAAGCCAGACAGCATAAGTGCAGAGCACCATTTAGTGGAGTGCTTGGGAGATCATGCAGCAGCAGAGGCAGCCCTAAATGCAAACTGGCAAAGTGGCCAGAGATACCACTGGCAGGGAGGGTGGGGGCTAGAGTTTTCAGAATCTAGTTTCATTAACTATCAAGATATTTAGATATGAGTTATCCAGGAGGAAGTTGCAATAGATCCAGAGGCTATACAAGGTCACACTTTCTGGCATCCACATTCTTGTGCAGGTCCTTTCCATTAAATCTGGTTCTCAGTTTGTAACTTGGTCTAAACAAATGAATGTGGGCTCAAGCCTTAAGCAGATCTGCAGGGGTTGGATTTATTACTCAGTAGCGCAGTTTGCTTAGCATGTACAAAGCCTTGGGTTCAGTCTTGATAACTGAAAAAATAAATCATCTGGGAACTTCCACTTTTCTGCACTGGGAGGTCTGAACCATCATGTAGGAAATGCCTGCAATGGAGAGGCACCTTGGAGGAGAGAGGCGCTGATCATACCTGGAGAGGGGGACCGGCACATTTGCCAGAGTCCCAATCCCTCAGTGATCCTCTAGCTAAATATGGCTGCTCACTTACTCCTGGGAAGTTCACCAGGAGGACCTCCAGCTGAATCCAGACCAGCTGGCAGTATTATGAGTGAAGAAAAATGTTTTTTAGCTTTTAGTTTTGGGTTGTTTTGTTTTTTTGAGATAGGATCTCACTATGTAGTTCAGGCTGGACTTGAACTAGCTCAGCCTCTTGAGTGCTAGGATTATAGACGTAAGCCACTACACCAAGAAGAAAAATGGTTTTGAGGATAAAAATATTAAGTTTTGGAGTCTGTTACACAAGGATAGAAAATTAAGCTGGTCAACATTACATATCTGTAATCCTAGCTCTTGGGAAGCAGAAACAAGATTGTGAGTTTGAGGCCAATCTGGACTACCCTGGCGATATAGCAAGACCCTATATTAAATAATAATAATAATAATAATAATAACTGAATTAGGGGGGCAAAATTGGCCTTCAGAGGTCTAGAGTGAGGACCAGGGCAATGGGCACTCACGGATCTGGGGCCGTAGCTCCTGAGCCAGGTGAGGGTTCTGGTCAAGCAACCCCAGGCTTTGGTTCATCCTTTCCTCAATCACCTGAAGGTGGGTCTGTACCTATGGGGAGTAAGTATGAGAGATGGCTGGTTAGTAGCACACACCTATATCCAAGCTATTCAAGAGGTCGAGGCAGGATTGCAAGTTTGAGGCCAACCTGGACAACTTATAAAAGAATTTAGACCCTGTCTGCAAATGACAATGTAGAAATAAAACAGGTTGGGATATAACTTAATGGTTAGTGCTTTCCTACTAAGTGTGAACTCCTTGGTCCCAAGGAAAAGGGAGACACAAGAAGTAAATATAGGATACAAGGGATATGGTATAGAAGACAGGAAGTAGGGTAAGTGGGGCAGGTGTGAGGAACAGAAAGTGGGGTTTGGATAGGTTCCACAGTTAGGAAGTAGAATGGGAGAGTAATACAGAAATGATAGTGGTTCAAAGGCAAGATTTGAAGTTAAGAGCACAGAACAGAGAACTTATAGACGGGAAGCAAGTCTCCAAGAAACGGGAATTAGATTCTGAAGACACAGAGAGGGGGTTTATGGGAAAACAAATGGGACTAGGGAGGAAGGCAGGTTGAAGGACAGGAATAGGATTTAAGGCACAGGAAAAGGATTCTGGAAAAAGTAGAAATCCAAGGGACAGGAAGAAAGAATTTAAAGGCAGAGAAGGGGATCAAAGGCACAGTGTTGGTGAGGAGCAGTGTTCTAGGATCGGGAAGTAGGGTCTGGAGGGTAGAAAATGGAGATGAGGACTGGGAAAGTACCTAGGCCCAGGAAGGGGCTTCAGGTATAGGAAGGGGGTCCCAGGGATAGCATGTAAGGAACAAGAGAAGAGTCGAGGGTCTGGGATCTGCAGGCTAGCAGGGCCTCTGGGAGTTGGAGGCATATGAGCACCTGGAATCGCATCTGCTGGGCCTTCTCAGGATCCACAGCAGCCACATGCTGGTAGTGTCGCAGTGTGTGCCTTTGCTCCTTCTGCTCTGCACGCAGGTAGTGCCGCAAGGCCACCAAGACTCGCTCTGCCTATGGGACAGATGAAGGCTGCCCAGGCCTGTTGTAGCCTTTCTCTCTTCCTGTCCTCTGCCCCCACCACCCTGTACCTGAGGCGGATCCCCCTGAAGGGCTGCCAGAAAACCTTCTAGGGCAGCTCGGCGCTGGTCATTGATCAGGGCGATGACTCGGGTGGCATGGGTCTCCACCAGGCGTTGTCGCTCACCAGACACCTGCTCCTCTAGGGTCTGCAGAATGGACTGGAAGTGCTGGTGTTGGGGATGGGGAGGTAGGAGTGGCACGGGGACAGGAGAGGTAAAGACAGGTGAATGTGTGGGTCAACGGGAGTCTGGAGAGGCAGGACTATTGGGGCAAGCACAGTAGGGTTCTGTGGGTCTGGCCTGGACAGAGCCACCTGAGATGCGACTAGTCAAAGGACACGTCCTAGAAGGGGGCCACATGGACAGATAGTGTAGAGTCAGGACTAGGCTTCCTGGACGCAAATCTGAGTGTATAAATGATCAGACTGGGTGGGAATAACCTGAGAACAGAACTGATCAGTGTTAAGACCCTGCAAATCTTGTAGGGAGAGCAGGGCGCCAGACCTGGGCAAGCCCAAACCAGAGACGGGCTGCACCTCAGTGAGACCCATGGGGCAGGGCTGAGGGTTGGAATACAGCCTAACCTGAGAGGGGTATGCATGGGGTAGGGCTGCATCCAGATCAGGTTGAAGGGGGTGAGGTCAAAAGTTAGGAGGCAGGATTTATTGGGGAGGAATTGAGTAAAAGTAAGGTAAAGTGGCAGGACCAGAGTCACGGTGGGCCTAACAGCGATGTGAATGCCTCCAAGACAAGCTGAGAAGAACCTAGCTATAATTTTGGAGGAACAGGCTTGGGAGAGGACTCCAGAGCCATACCTCAGAAAGAAGTCAAGAAGGGTTAAGCCTGGCCAGGTGTGGTGGTGCACACCAGTAATCCCAACACTTGGGAGGCTGAGGCAGGAGGATCACTGTGAGTTTGAGGGCAACCTGAGCTATAAAGTGAGTTCAAGGTGATCGTGAACTGCAGAGTGAAACTCTGACTCAAAAGGGGGGAGGGGAGGCCTAAACCCTGCTAATCTAAGGAGGACAGCAATGTCAGGTCAAAAGTGACAGGGCCAAATGGGGGTGTGGGGCCAGGAAACACTGAGGTGAGCAGGAGGGGGTTGAAATGGATGGCGTAGGACTTGGCCAGAGCCAGGCTGAGACCATCCAGCCCCTTGTCCTACCTCATTCAGGGCCTGTCGGTCAGCTTTAGGCAGGTTCTTGGACTGGTTGTCTGCCATGGCCCATTCACGCATCACCTAGGAGTGGGATGGAGCTTCAGGACCCCACAATCCATCCTGATTATCTTGTGAGTCTCCCAACCCCTTACCAAGACTTTGGAGGACATAGAGCCCTTACGTCCCACTAGCTCATGTATTCCCAAGGGGGAAGACCCAGGGGAGTTTAAAGTCAAAGTGCATGATGGGCCAGAGTTTCCAGAGATTTTGGGGATATCTCATTAGGATTCTAGGTGGGTCAGGGATCTCTGGTCATCTTAGGGGGTGGTGTTAAGGGATGAGGGTTGAAGGGCAGCCCTCAGAAGTATGAGGGTTAATGGGCTCCTCAGGAGATTTCCAGCATTTTAGGGAGCTCCATGATGGATATGGTGGGCTCCTAGGGTTCCCAGTACCTCATTAATCTGGCGCATCCTGCGCTCCTCCAGGTCCATCTTGGCCCTCAGAAACCCCTCGTGCTCACTGATTTCCCCAGGCATGCCGAAGTAAACATCCACACCATCAGTAGGCCTTGGGGTTGGGGTGACTGCAAGACCACCAGGACCAGGAGGTTGGCCTGTAGTGCACCTCCAAGTCACCTTTCCTGCCTGAAGAACTGAATTTCCTAGAGTGCACTGGAGACCGTGACACACCCAGTTGAGCTATCACTGCTGCTTAACATCATGGAAGATATTGTTCTGGACTTTCCTGTTCCTGCAAAGCTTGCAAATCCCTTTTGCTGTCTTCCAAGCTTTCCCCAAGTGACCCTTAAGACCTAGCAAATGGGCCCTCCACTTTCAATGATCCCCAAACTACCTTGTGCCTTTGCATTCTTCATGAACTAACCCTCTGCCACTCATTACTTTTTTCCAAAGTTACTCCTACCTCTTTCCATTCCCCCCACCTGGGCCTCTCTCCACAGGTCCCTCCCCAAGGGACCCATAAAGCAAAGCTCTCCTAAATCACCCTTTCCCTATTGAGGGAGAGAACTGAGGAGACCTTACCTTTGCTGATCACAGCAGGGGTATGGGAGCTTGGCTGTGGGGCTCTTTCTTCCTCTTCCTCTTCAGCCTGAGGGGGCTCCACAAAGTAATCATCTACTGGCTGTAGGAAGGATTCCTCCTCTTCCTCATCCTCACCCCTCTCTGCTCTGCCCCCCAGGGGCCAGGACCTGGTGGAGGGGTCACTGAGGAAGCAGGAGACCCAGGAAGTAAGATCCTGAGTGTAAGCCCCAAGGTTGGTTTCCTTCCTCTTCCCCAGGAGCATCAGAATGGCCACTTACCCAACTGCTGTCCCAGATGGGTTGGAAGTCACTGGAGGAGGACAGCATACATATTCCACACCTCGGAACCGATCTTCCCCACAAGGCAAAAGCATACCTGAGCCATGTAGGATGAGGCCCTGGGAGCTGCAGGCCTGTGGGAAGAGTGGGTCCAGATGCCAGGACTATGGAGTAGGAGGGTGTAGACTGGATGCCTGGGTCCTGGGGGCTGATAAGGCTGGGAGCCTGGATTCTTGGTTTTGGAGGAAAGGGTTCCTCCAGAACCCCGTGGACACAAGGAGCTGTCACAAGACAGCTGGTGAAGGATGGTGATAGGGGCTTGGACTTCTGGGCTCTAATGAGACAGGCATGGGTGGGGCCAGGGTCCTGACCTCTTGTGCCTCCTGATGCCTCCGGGTTGAACTCTCGCATTGGTCCATGCGTTCTTGGTGCAAGAACCGGCAGCCTTCTGGCACCAGTAGGGCTTCACTGACGAACTCACCAGCTGAGGAATGGGAGACACCAGGATGAGATTCTCCCACAGTCACCAGCTCCTCCCTGTCAGGACTCAGATATCTTATTCTCAGAGGCTTCTCTGCCCTGTTTTGGACCCAAGCACCTAACCACATAATGTGGGCCAGAGACAGGGCTCAGAAATGTTTCTTAGAGACTCACGTAGGCAGTGGAAGCGCACAACCTGGTGGTGGGGGTGGGCACAGCGGCCACTCCGGCTATCCCCACACCAGCGCTCCATCGGAATGGCCTGGGCTGCTTGCTCCACACGTGTGATGTGCAGCTCCGGATACATCTGGAGGCACCAAGAAGGGACAATCAGCCCACTACCCAGCTCCTGCTACCCCCCCCCCCACTGGTCATGTTCTTTTTTGAGGCTCTGCTCTCCACTTCTGTACTGGGGATCGAACCAACGGCCTTCGAACTGAGCAGTATGCCCAACTCTTCTTTTATCTATGTTTTTATTTTTTACATTTTGAGACAGGGTCTTGATAAGTCACTAAATTTCTCATACTGTCCTCAAATTTGTGACTTTCCTTCCTCAGCCTTCCAGCCACACACCACTGCACCTGTCACAAGACTCTAACATTCACAAGGACATCTCCTGAGATTCTGCTCCTCCATAGAACCAACTAAGGTATCTTAAATCCTCCATGTCTTTGGCCACAATCCTCTTCTTAGGCACTTCTTTTCCTGTCCATTTCCTTTATGAAAGTCTCTTCATCTGCTTATAAATTCAATCTCTGTAAATTCATTTCTCTGGTCACCCTTCCTCCAGAATTAGGTTCTTCTCTCCCTAGATTTTATCCTCCTCCAGGCCTCCCCCTTTACGTTTGGCCTTTCCTGTTAGTATTCCTTCTCTTTTTATTGACCCGCCTTCTCATAGCCACGCCTCCTGGTTATCCGCTTGCTCATTGGATTCTACTGCTCCCCTCACCCCATCTTGCTGCCCCATAGGTCTCTTGGTATTAGCCCGCCTCTCCACTGGCCACGCCCACCTATGCCGGTACTCCTACAAAGCTCACCAGGTTTCTAAACCCCGTCTTTTCCCTGGCCATCTTCCTTAGACTGTGTCTTTGGGCTGCTCTCCTGTCTCCAGACTTGAATTTCTCAAAACAGGTCACCACCTCGCTTTTCATTGGCCAGGTCGTCTCCCAGCTCCTTTAGCCGCCTTAGATCCCTCATCTCCCGAAATCCTGCCTCTTTTAAGAGTCTAAAGTCTCAGAGGCGACCTCGCTGGATCTGAGACCCTTTCCCCGCTGACCACGCCCCTCCATAGCCCCGCCCACCTGTCTGCAGTACTCCAGCACGCGCTGCGGGTCCCGGAGACAGCGTCGTGAGAGCTGTGGATCTGGTTCCCAGCGGCCGGTGCGCAGGTCTCGGTGAAGCGTTGGGAGCCCACATAGTCCTGCCACCTGGGCCGACCCCGGAGCCTAGCAGTAGAGGTGGAAAGGGCAGTGAGGACCCGAAGGACATTGGCATATGGGTTCCCTGGTTCATTGCTCCCTAAGAACCAGATATTCAGACCCCTGGCTGCGATCCCCTCCCCCAAGCACTCTGCATCCGTCTTTTTGGAAACAACGTTCCTTGGGAAACAGCTCCGCAGGGCGAAGGCACCCCAGCTCTCCGTCACTATGGCAACCCAACCCCTCCACACATCCCTGATTTCCAGAGGCTTGTTGCTGCGAGACAGACTCCGCCCCCACCCCAAAGCAGTCCCGCTGAAGCTTGAAGGAGTTAAATCTGAATCCTGGGGGAGGAAGTCTAAACCCAGGCGTTCTGGCCCCTCCTCCTTCCATCCCTAGTTCAGGCTTCCCACTGCGGGGGTGCAAAGACCACAAGGCCTGGCTTCCTGCAGGCCTGGACACCAGGTCCTTGAGGACTGGGAGCTACATCGCAGTTGGTAGTGGCTGGAGGCCTGGATTCCTGGGTCCTGAGAGCCTGTGAGGACCCTTATTTATTTGGGTACAGAGAATGCAAGGGGCCTAGATTCTCGGATTCTAGTGTCTTACTCTCTGATGGGTCCTATGCTCAGGTGGTAAGGGGCTGAGGCCTAGTCGTCTGGAGTGAGAGGGCTGAGAGGGATAGGCTGGACTTCTGTAACCAGGGTTGGAGGGGGTTAGGGTATCAGATGATGGGGGGGTCCGGGCCACGAAGACTGGGTTCATGAATACCTAGTGCCGGTCAGGGGCACCTGGGGGCGGGCCACCTGACTGAAAGGACTGCGCTTTCTGACATGGACAGGTCCGCGTCGGGTCCTGCGGCCCTGTCCCTCCCCTTCCCCCATCCCCCAGGACCTGGCCCGGCCTCACCTCGGCCGCACCGGGGCTCCCACCGGCCAGGCTCCCGACGGCGAGCTGCGCGCGCAGAAGCAGAAGCAAGAGTGGCAGCGGCAGCGACAGCGGCGGCGGGCCCGGGCGGCCGCCTGCACCGCGAGCGGCGGGGCTCGCGGGCCCCATGTCCCGGCCCTGGCGCCCTCAGGTCTCCTGCGATCCCGCCCGGCCCGGCCCCAGCGGTGACAGGAGCTCCCAGCGCCACCGCCACCGCCTCCTCCTCCCGCCGCCCCCGGGCTGCGCCGGCGCCGCCAGCCCCGCCCCGCGCCGGCCCCGCCTTCCTGGCCAGGACAATAGCGTGGCAGCCCTGCGCAGAGCCGAGCAGCTCGGGAACCCCGGTGGGAGCCTGCGCCAGGCCCCCGCCCGGAGAGATTCCGGGCGTCCCACCCCATGCCAAGGCCAAGCCTCGAGATCGGGTCGTGGGTTCAGCCGATTTGGATTTTGAGTCTAACTAATCTCAAAGACTGCGACCGCACCCCTCTCTCCCTTTAGACCCACACATCTGCGGTTGGGCTTTGTCCTCCCACCAGGGATGCCAGCATCCCAAACCTGCTCCCCTCAAAAAAGGAGGATATCCCTCTCTTGAGGTTTCGAGAATACAGGCTCCCAAACTTTCCCAAATCAAGAACACATCAGTTAAGACCCCTTCCCCGCCTCGTTTAGATCCAGCAGTCTTAGCCCTTGAGACCAAAGCCCCCATCCTTTCTCCCTGGGACTCGGAGTTCAGTCTTGTGCTTACCACTGGGCTCAGGTTGTCCTGGCCTTTAAGTGCTGAACCTAAGTCCCCACACCTCTTTAAGGATGACCAAAATCAATCACCCAAATCATACCCATATCAAGGACATAGCACCTCAGAAAAAAGGCGTTCCCCCACCCCATCCCTATCCTGATTTAAGGATCAGGGAATTTTCATTTGCCTGCCCCGGTCTGCTTTCCAACTCCCTTCAGGGCTCACTGCTTTAATTCCTCAGACTGTAGAATTCTGTTTCCCTTGGCCAACTGGGGCAGCCCTGTGCTGTGTGTGAATCTGGTGGACCTCTATGACTGTGTGTTGTGGGCACATCCCAATATGTGTGTCTGTGTCTCATTTGCAAGTTTATATGTGTATGTTTGTGTAGATGAATATTGAAAGAGTCTATAGTGCTAAACAACTGGCAAGGAGCCGAATGGTGGCCCAGGGTCTTGCTCCTCCAATACTCTGTAGGCTAATAGAGGAAGGCCTTTGGGACAGAGCCAGTGGATCTCTTCCTTGAAGGAAAGTAATAATAATACCAGGAGAATGTCCAAGACATGCTTTGACTTTTTTAATTAAACATTAATATTCTTATCTTCCATTTCCCTTTCACCTCCACAGTGATAGTTCTCACCCTGTCCCTACTCCTTGGGCCCAACATTTTTCTGAGTGTGTAAGGAAAGTAGATGGAATCAAGATGGTGGCCATCTTGGCAGCACTTTCAGTGGCCAAATGAAGTTCCAGGAAAGGCAGGACAAGATGAGACCTGTTGTCTTTCATTTTGACATGCCCTGTACTACCTTCTTTGTCAGTGCCAGAGGTCATCTTGAAATACCTTCCCTCAAGAGCTAGAAATGACTTTCAGTCCTATTCCTTACTCCTGTCACCCCTCCCCCCACACACACTTTATCTCTCTGCAAAAGTCTGCCCACCACCTTGAGTGTCTTTTACATAGGAGAACAGATGCACATGGTGACCGTATTGCTCCCATCTGAGGCATCCCCTCTGGCTGAGCTGATCCTGGCAATTGTTATGCCCTTTCCTCCTTCACTCAGTATTCAGTTTTGGAGGACTAAGGTTGTCAACTTGTTCTGGCACCTCAGAATCCAGAACAGTCACTATGGCAAGTTGAAGATCTCAGGCCTCTTCAATTGGAAAGTGGTCACACATGAGTCTGGAGTCGCTGGTGGGTGGGTGTGGGCAAGGCAGCATATGGAAAGGGGGGCATTCCAGAGTTCAGGTCTGGGGAGCCAAAGGAAGTGGGTTTGATGTAGCTGGTAAAGGCTCGAGGATGAGGTGTGGTTAGATAACCAGCCCGAGTTCTGTACAGTCTGCAGGGGGGCACCATGTCTAGGTGTGGACTGAAGTCACAGAAAGTAGGGGTCCCTGGAAGTCCAAGGGGGGATGGGGGTGGCAGGAAGAGGCCTCCTCCAGGAGCTTCACCAAGGCTCAGGCTCACACTGACCCCTCGAACCTTGTAGTAACCATTGGTTGGGTCCTGAGGGGACAAAAAAGGACTTGGTGAGATATGTGTCAGTACAGAGAGGTGAGGATGGGGAGACACACTGAGAAAGAGCCAAATCTAGAGACAAAAAAGACAGAAATGGGAGCAGGCAGAGACCAAAAGACAGACAGACACATAGACAAGCAGAGAGGCAAAGTGAGAAAAACAGCCACAAAAGGAGAGAAGGAGATAGGCAGAGATAGAGACAAAAAGAGCAAGAAGCCAGGCATGGAGGTGCACAACTGTAATCCCAGCACTCAGGAAGCTGAGGCAGGAGGATCGTTGCAAGTTTGAGATCAGCCTGGGTTATAAACTGAGCTCAAGGCCAGTCTGACCTGCATAGCAAGACCCTGTCTGAAAAAAAAAACAACAAAAAACATAGGGCTGGGGATTTAGCTCAGCGGCAGAAGCGCCTGCCTTACAAGTGTGTGGTCATGAGTTTGATCCCTGTACCGATAAAAAAGAAAAAGACAAAGAAAAAAAAAAAAACCCAAAGCAAAACAAACAAACAAACAAAAAACAAATAAAAAACAACCAAAAGAGAGTGCAAGATAGAGACAGACAGCCAGTTATATAACTGAGTGGCATAAATGCCTGCCTGGCAAACGCAAGGTCCTGAGTTCAATTTCCAGTACCAAAAAAAACAAAAAAGATGAAGACAGAGAGATATAGGTTTGCTGAGCATCAGCTCTGTAACTGAAGAAAGCACAGGCAGTGACTGGGGCTGTGATGGGGAAACTCTCAGCACAATGCTAAGCTGTGATGGAGAAGCCCAGCTTACAGTGGTTGTGGCATGATGGGAAGATACAGCCAGAATAACAGCCCTTATGGGAGAGGCATAGGTTCTCTAGAACAAGCAATGTCTGGGCTGAAATTGGAAGAATACAGGAAGCAACTAGTTAAGTGTATGAAGGGTGGAAGTGTTTCAGGCCAAGAAAATAGCATGTGCCTGGCACAGAGGAAAAAGGACTGGAATCAGTGAGGCTATACTGAGATGGGACTCCAAAGAGGGAACAGGTCTGGGGAGACATAAGGCCAGCATGGGACTGTCAGACAGAGCAGGGGCGATCAAGGAGATACATTTAGGAGGCCTGAAATATGACTACAGTGGAGCTGGATAAGATGACCCAGGAGGCAGGAGAGGGGCTAGGTCTTACTTCCAGGGGAGACATAATGAAAAAGAAGGAACAGAGCATGACAAAAGGACCCTCCCTTCTCAACACTCACCTTGGTCTCCAGAACCTCTTTCTCATCCAGAACCAGGTCACTGTGGCCATCAGGTACAATGGGACCCTGGGGAGGGAACACAATGAGAAGGAATTATCAGATGACCCTCTTGCCCCAGAGTCAGACCCCAGTGACCTTCAGCCTGGCAGTGGAGGTCAAGTAGGAGGAAACCTGGGAGCATCTGTACTGGGGAATGGACTCAGGAAACACAAACGCAAAGGAGACATACTGGGCCTAAGGAATCAGCACTCAGGGGCACGTGTGGACTTGGGGGACATCAGGACCTGGGGTCACTGTTAGACTAGGGCAATATTTGAGTTTGAGGATACTGTTGGACTAGGACACTATTGGGTCTGGGGACCCGGCCTCTTACTCGATGCTCGATGCTGCTTGTCTCCTCTTCCCCAGGACCTCGTGAACTGGAGCCATCGCTGCTTCCTGGGATTCGCACCAGGTTCTTTTGCTTGGAGAAAGAGGCTAAGGCCCAGAGGGAGAGAGATGGAGATAAGCAAATGGCAGGGTCACAGTCTGTGGAGACCAATAATCAGGAAGACTAGAGGACAGGGCCAATTGCTGGAGAGGCTGGGAACCAGTAAGAACCGTGTGTGTGTGTGTGTGTGTGTGTGTGTGTGTGTGTGTGTGTGTGACCTTGAAGAGGCCAAGTTAATACTGAGGAGGAAAAAAAAATACTGACGAGGCCCTGAAGGTGAGCTCGGCCCTGTGCAGGACTGGAGACTGGACTGGAGCCAGGCCCAAGGTTAGCAGTCAGTGGGCAGGGAATGTGGGGCTGGAGGGTTGGGATTCGTGGAGAGGGGACAGAGGCAGGGCTTAGGCACTGACACTTGCCGTGGCGCCAGCAGCAGAGAGCCACCCCAGTGATGATCATAAGAAGAGTCGTGGCAGCAGCTGCTACTCCAGCTACAATCCGCACAGTGGGAAGCAAGTCTGTAAGGAGTATGAAAATCCTGAGAAGGCTGAGCCACAACTGGAAAGAGACTCCAGGCTTGGGTTTGGTAATCCCTGGACTCAAAAATTCACCAAGTATTCAAGTTGGATTAAGGAAAAAAAAAAAAAAATTCACCAAGTTGGGAGATTCCCAAGGTTTATAGTTCTTAAGTTTGTAGTTTAAAGGTTCATGAATTTGAGGCTCCACAAGTTTGAAAATATGGAAGTTCAAATTCTCTGACTTTAGAGAAATCTTAAGAGTTTGAGGCTTCACAGCATCCTATATTTATAGGTTTCTTTCTTTGGGGTTCCCAAGTGTTAGGAGTCTTTCAGTGTAAGATTCTGTTTTTGAGGGAATGTATTGTTGGGGGATAGTCTCCAGAATTGAAGAAACCTATAGTTTTGAGGTTCCCAACATTTGGGGACTCCATTTGAGAACCTTATAGTTTGGAAGGCTTAGTCAGGGGATCCCTCTGTTTGTGGGGTTCAAATCCCCAGATTTGGGGTCTCACCTCTACGGCTTAGGTGGATCTGAGTGCTTCCCTCCCCCAGCCGGTTCCGGGCACTGCAGTTGAAGCTCCTCTTAAAGTCAGACTCCTGAGTCCCCGAAATATGCAGCACAGAGATCAGGCCTAGACCCTGACCCCCAGGACCCTCTGAGGCTGGGAAAGTCTCCACCAGGAACCTGCCTCTGGACCCCGCCTCCAGGAAGCCCTCATCCCAAGTCCAGACCTAAGGGCAGGAAAGAACAAAAAACAGGAAAGCAAGATCACTGAGGAGATGGGAGCCCAGAAGAACTGGCAGGATGGCCAGAAAGTCAGAGAAACTCCGAGCCATTTCAGGGGTCCAATGGGAAGTCAGGGACTATGGAGGAGTGGGTCATGGTAGGGGAAACTTTTCCTTACCACAACATCTGGGGCGGGGGAGGCAAATACCAGGCACTGGAGGCGGGCAGGGCCCCTCAGGAAGGCTGGTGCAGAATGCAGAGTGGTTACTACTGGGGGAGCTGAAATAGAGATTGTGAGCCTTTTAGGAGTGCTGATTCTGAACAAAGCAAGACCTGGGCACACCACTAACCCCCACCAACCAGGCCACAGGCCATGCTTCTCCACTTACTCTGATCTGCCTCAGATCCAGCTACAATCACTAGACTCTGTCACCTATCAGCTCATTCCAAGGCCAAGCCCACTCCCATTAGACTTGCTCCTCTGCCTACTCACTGGCTGTGAACCCTCCCGGGCTCACCATTCACAGTCAGCCTAGCCTCTGCTGCACCGCCCCCCAGGCCTGAGTGCCCCGGCTCAGCTCTGCACACATAGTCGCCTGCATCCTCAGGTGCCACGGATGGAAGCCGCAGGATGGGCCCGGAGCTCAGCACCTGGAACAGGAAAGAGGCATCAGAAACCAGACTTTTGGGGCTGGGGATTTAGCTCAGTGGCATAAGCACCTGCCTTGCAAGCCTGTGGTTGTGAGCTCGATCCCCATACCAAAAGAAAAAAGAAAAGAAACCAGACTTTGCCAGGAGGCCAAGCCTACCCTACCGCCAACTACTGGCACAGTTTCCAGATTGGGCTTCACCTGTGTACCACCACGGCGGGTCCAGGTTATCTGGGGGAGGGGGTTCCCACGCCAAGCACAGCTAAAGGAGGCATCTTCCCCCACGTCCACTGACTTGGCTTCCGGCCTTGCTTGCAGGACTGGCCCAACTGGAGGTGAGAGAAGAAGGGGAAGGCTAAATGAAGGGAACAGCCTGTCAGAAAAAAAGCATAAAGGTTGGGCTGTAGGTCCTCAGTCCATAACTCCCCTCCTACTAATTGTCCATGCCCACAGGCGCTGTCCCTGTCCACTTCAGACTGAACCCACACAGCCAAACTCCGCTTGCTTGTCTGCTTCTTTCCACTCTCTCTTTCTTCATTTCTTGTTTATTTGTTTGTACCAAGGCCTTCTCACTGAGCTACATCTACAGACCTGTTTTTCTACTTTGAGACAGTACCTTGCTAAATTGCCCAGACAGGATTTGTGACCCTCCTGCCTCAGCCTCCCAGAGGGCCGGATTACAGCCTCCGTCACCACTCCTTTGATAACCCTCCCCAACCACGCCCAATTTAGCCACACCCACGACCCCGACCCAGCTCACACAGCACGTCCAGCGCGGTGCTGCGGTTGGCGCTACCCACAGCGTTGCTGACCTCGCAGGACACAGGTTCAGTCAGAAACGAGGCATCTGCCACAATCTCCAACCTTGGTCCGCGGGCCCCGAGCACCGGGGAGCCCCCCTTTGCCCACCTGTGGAGGTGATGATGCTGTTGATGTTATCATACCCCTCTCTAAACCTATGCTTTCCTTTCTTTTATTTACAGTCCCCCACCACCACCGGGGATCGAACTCAGACCGCCTGCTTGCAAGGCAGGTGCTTATGCCACTGAGCTAAATCCCCAGCCCCACTATGCTTTCCTTTCTGAAGAGAGGCCTTTGTCCTCACCTGTAGCCAGTGACTGGAGGCTGGGCTGTGGCCTGACACAAGAAAGTGACCTTCTGTCCCTCCTGAACAGTCTGTGGCTCAGCAGACAGAGTCACCACTGGAGGATCTGGGTGAGTGGGAGAGTGCTCATTGCAGTCCATTCCCCAGTTCCTCCATCCCAGGAACTGCTCTAGTTCCTTCTCCCTTTGAGCCAGGAGTCTGGGTTTCAAGTTCCCAATTCCCCCAGGTGGCCTATTGCGCTATCTTTTTGTCCTGCCTTGCTCTATATCCCGGAATCCAGGACCTGCCTTCCTCTTACCTCAGGGACCCCAAACCCACAGACCCAGGAGTCCAGGCTCCACCTGCCTCTTCTACGTTCAGCTGAACTCACACTGTAGGCTCAGCGTGACAACTGTGTCCCTTCCTGTGGGCAGGGCCTGGCTCCGGGCTCTGCAGACCAGAGTAGCTCCATCATCATGGCTGGAAGGGGTCAGGAATAATGTGCTCTCCACTGACCCAGTGGTTCCTTCCTTCAGCAGAGTCTGGAGGGTATGAATAATAACAATGACTTCACCTACTCTTTATACAAAATAGTGCTAACTATGTGTCAGGCACTCTTCTGGGTACTTGTAAGTATTATTTTGTTTAATCCTATGAATATTCTATAAAGTACCATTCCACTATTATCCCATTATACAGATAAGGAAACTGAAGCACAGAGAGGTTAAACAACGTAACATCAGCTAGCAAGTGGCTGAGGCAGAATTTGAACTTGAGTAGTCTGGCCCTAAAGCCCTCACCCTAAGTCACATTTCAAGAGAGTCAACCCTTGAACCTCACCCTCCTCTTTTGGATGAACCAGTAGTCAGAGAAGACTCCAAATTTCATTGGATGGGGAGGGGTTGGCAAAAGGATTTGGACCTGACCTTGTGAAAGGTAGTCCCATCCAGTTGGACTCCATCTCGGAACCACAGAAGCTCCTGGGTAGGGCGGGCAACCCCTCGACTCCGGCAGGTCAGGTTTGCAGGAACGCCAACAACCAGAGACACAGAGGGCCCACCCAGCACCTGGGGGGGTTCTGGGGGCACTGAATAGTAAAGATAGGGTCAGAACTGGATCTTGGGCCCAGAGAGCCTTTTCTTCTCAGCTCCAATCCACCACCGCCTGAGCATCCTGAACTGATAGTCTCAGTTAATACTGGCTCCTCCCTCCCAACCCCCACCCCCACCCCAGCTCCCAAGAAACAGGTGGGCTGAGCCTTTACCCAACACTCGCAATTGGGCTGGTCGAGATCTGAGGCCAGCTTGTGTAGCCTGACATTCATATGATGCCTCATCTTCTAGCTCCACGGGCCTAATGTGGAGATCATGCTGGCCCATGGCTGCATTCCCCGATATCCAGTACCGGGACCACCCTGGAACCAGGGAAGAGATAGTTGCATCATGACTCAGAGTACCTGGCATCAGGCCCTCACCCAGACATCCCTCACTAGAAAACTGGTGCATTCACTCCATGGGAAGATACTGCTTCAAAGTGTGCTCTGAGCTGGGTGTGGAAATATCAGCACTCTGGAAGGTTGAGGCAAGATTACAATTTCAAGCCCAACTTGGTCAACTTATCAAGGTCATGCCTTAAAGTTAAAAATTAAAAAGTGCTAGGAATGTAGTTCAGTGCAAAAGCCCTGGATTCAATCCCCAGTACCAAAGGCTGGGCTGGAGGTAGGGGATGGGGAAGTGTGCCCTGGATCCAGAGAGACTCTAACACAACGTCTGTCCTAAGGTAGAGACACTGCAGACTTAGGGACCATGCAGTTAGAAAGCAAAACAAGAAAATAATTGTGTAAACATTAGGTACTACAATTTTGTTGTAAAAAAGAGAGGGAAAAAAAGTGCTCTAAAGGATACAACTGCAAGTGTGTTTAGGGGTGTTAAATAGCTGACCATATTAATGTTTTTGGTTGGATCACTGAACACAACTGTTTGCAGTCTCTCTGTTTGAATGTTCACTTTGTATGCTTTGATACTGTGACTTGAGCAACTATCTCTAAGACGATAATGTGTAATCTATTAACTGGTGATTTCTTACTGTTTTTTTTTTGTTTTTTTTTTTTTTTTTGTAGCTCTAGTTCTGTGTTACTTGTACCTTTACACTGCTTTGTTTTGTTTTTTCTCTTTTTCCTTTTAAATAAAATTAAAAAAAAAACATTAGGTACTACCTCCAGGCTATGACAGGAGAAAGGAATGAGGGGGCTTACAGGGAACTGGCAATGATCTAGTGTGACTGTCTATAATTATTTGGCAACTTGTCCATTTAGGTTTACTGCACTTTTCTGTATTTATATCCCCAAACTATACGGGTCATCCCCAAAGAAGCAGCTCAAAAACCTCATTCCCAGATATTTATTTTAGTCCATTAATTTCCCAAAGTTGAAAATATCAGGATGGAAATATCGGATACAGCCCAACTTACAGCAGCTCCCCACCCCCCTCCCTGAGCCAGCCCTTCTCCGAGGAGAGGACAGCCTCACCTGGCAAGTCCCTCTCGCCGCCTAGAGCCAGCCCATCCTTAGTCCACTGCACAAGCCCCCTGTACGCTCCCAGAGCACAGGGCAGCCAAGCTTCCTCCCCCAGCAGCACCACGAGGTCCTCCGGCTGTTTTAGGAAGTGGGGCGACAGACCTAGGAGAATAGGGGTCAGCAGAGCTGAGCTTTGCATATTCAAGAGCTCTCTCATTCAACGACGCAGGAGTCCAGTCCCCAGAATCAGAAACTCAACGCTCCCCACTTAGCCGCAGCATTCGCCATCCCCCCCAGGGGGGTAAAGCGGAGACTGGCAAACTGTATCCATCTGCTCCCCATCCGGTACCTGCGCGCCCCCTGAAGCAGAAGAGGAGGACGAGGAGGGCGGCGACCAGCATCCTCGGTGTGTGTCCCCCAAGGTCCTCACGACTTGGGGCTGCTCTGGCTTCCCTCCAATTTCTCACTGAGCGGCACACCTCTCCCTACCCGGATTGGAACCCCTTCGGGCCCCACTCTTCGCGTGCAGTGCCTGGAGAACCCCCCCTCCCGTCACTGTCCCGGGTCCCCGAAGTCTACTCATCCACAGCTTCGGTCGGTCTGAAACGCCTGCCAGTTCTGCGCCCCAGAATCTGCAAGACTCTGGGGGTGGGGAGTGGGGTAGAGGAGCCGGGTCCCGCTCGCCCCGCCCTCTTCCCGTTGAGAAACTCCCGCTGCCTGCACGTGGATGAATGGGGTGCGCGGGGCAGGGGCTACTCCGAGGGCGGGCGCTCACCCCAGTTGGGGTCTGGGAGTCGGAACACCTGGATCTAAAGTGGGGGTCTTGCCTAGGCTGGACATCTGCGCCCTGTGTGTGTCGGGGTGTGTGTGTGTATGGGGTGAGGGCTGGGGGTGAGGAGGAGGGAAGGGAGAGAATGGAAGAAAGTTGCTCAGCTCGGGTCCTGGAGGGACTGCGCTGAGTGGAAACTGAGCTATAAATGGGAGTCCCCAGGGCCTAGCCAGTTTCCGCGCCCTGGGAGGCGCGGCCCGGTACTTCCCTGGGGTTGAGGGTCGGGGAGAGGGCAGCTGGGTCCCGGAGTCCAGCTGGGATCCCCGAAAAAGGGGACTCAGCTCTCCACGTTTCTGAAAATATCCCTCTACTGCCTTGTTATCGCCTCAAACCGTAGCACGTCCTGAGATTCAAGAATCCGGGACCCCAGCCCCTTCTTTCCCAGGACCCCGTAGTGCCGTTCCTGCCCGTCTCCACTCTAGCCGATGGGGCCCCTCGGCCTTGGTTGCTGGGCGACGGATGGGAGGTGGTGGTGTCCTGGCTCTGGCAAGCCGGGAGGCTGGGAATTGCGCAGCTTGTCCTGACGGCTCCATGCAGTCCAGCTGGGATGTTCCCACGCTGCGCAGCTGGCTAGACAGGTGGGAGGGACTCTGAGCTTACAAAGGGGCTGAGTGGCTGGAACCCTGGGTCTGACATACTTAGATCTGTAGCAACTGGAAGTCCATGTTCAGGTTCTTAGATGTTCGTGGGCTGGGGCTTCTGCAAACCTACATGGCAGGGGGTTGGACCTCAAAGGCTGTATGTAAGGCACTGGTGGCTCTGCTGGCTGAGATGTTGATGCTTTATCTGGACTCCCTGTGCCATGAGGCGTGCAGCATGGGACTGTTAGGCCAGGGTCAGAATATCTGGTTTTAAGTCTTAGAGCCAGTGGATTTAACTACCAATCTCTCTCTCTCCCCCTTACAGGCCCAGGAGGATTTGAAAATCAACACAGTGAACATCTGGCCTGTGTATTCCAGGCAAAGGCTAGAGGATTAGAGACCAGACTCAAGGGTCTTTGGAGAGAAGGGCTGGGAGTCTGGACTACTGAATCCGAGAGAGGGGCCTGAGGTCCTAATTCTGGGGTCCTGAAATTCTACTTCTATATATGAATTCAGCACTTGGATTTTGACATAGGATGGGCTTGGGTCTAGGGCTCCAGTGTGTTGGGGAGGAAGTCAGGTGATGAAGCTGTTTTTCCAGACACCTGCTGTTGCTTCCCCATCCTGGCTCTCTGGAGCCACAGGCATTTAAAAAAAAAAAAAAAATGGAGAGTTGAATCCCAGGAGCATATAGAGAAGGAAAACAGCCAAGGTGGAGGATAGAAGGTTTGTGCTAATTAAAGGTCCCTACAACTAACTGAGAGCTCTACACCCTGGCCCTCCGGGACATCATCTGGTAAGGGTCCCATGACAACCCCCAGGTCTGTCTCTAGCCCATTTCCCAGGAGGTATGAGAGGACAGCTGGGAAGGGGAACGTGGAAGGAAGGGAAGGAAAGAATAGTGGGGGGCATGGAGAAGTATCTTTGGGGGCTCAAGCCAGATGCTTCATCGTTTTCCTAGAGGAGGACCAGGAAGGGAGGTCTCAGGAAGGGGGAAAAACGAACAGTTGCAATTCCTGCAGTAGATAAGCAGCAGAAGGAGCTTAACCCATGCAAGTATGTATGTGCACACTGGGGTGGGAGGCCAGGCTAGGCAGCATATGGTTATAAATGCAGAGATGGGAGGATCAGGACTTGAAGCTAGAGAAACTAATGAGAAAGAGGCACAGGCAGAGGCTGACAGAGAAATATTTATTGAGCTCCTGGTGTGCAAGAAACAGAATGTAGGGTAGCCAGAGTGATCAAGATGAGAACAGAGACAGAAGACAAAACAGAGACACATAGAGGAATGGAGACAGTGAAACAGTTAAAGATTTAATGAGAGAGAGAGAGAGAGAGAGAGAGAGAGAAGGAGGGAGAGAGAGGTGTCTCATAGAGGTGGAGAAAAATAAATCAAGATGAGGAGAGAGACACACAGAGAGGAAGGAAGAGATGGAGAAGAAGGAAATAGGGGCAGAAGGATGCTCACATGGCCTTTGACCAAAGGGCACCCCCCCTGGCTGCTGGCAGATCTGAACTCTGTTTTTCATTACTGCTGCTGAGTGTCCTGCTCCCTGCGTCCTCATTCTGAACATGACCTCACACACACACACTCCCACGTGCATTCACAGATCACACTGCACTCTGACTCCCATGCTTACACACTCACAGAGGTATGCTCACACCTAAATGCACACAGATAATTTCACCTCCCTTCCACACTCTCCCAGGTTCACACACACTCTTGCACACCTCTAAGCAAAGATTCCTGCTGTCGCTGACAGGCTGATGTCTACTCAGGGAAACAAGGGCCTTGCCAAGGTCATGCATCTAGGCAGGGAAGAGCTGAGGCCCACATGGCCCAGCTCTCTGCTCTCCATGCTGAACTGGGAGATGGTCCAGGTTTGACCTGCTCTCCCAGGCCTTTGGGGTCAAGGGGTTTGGGGAGGCACTGAAGAATATGTCTGGCATGTGCTGACAGGGGATTTCTTACTCCAGCTGGGCAGGGAGGAGTCTGCTGGGCAGTGGTAGGAGCTGGAGGCTCAGGAGAGTTCTGGGGAAGCAGCAGTATGAGAGGGAAGCTCAGGCTGGGTCCGAGGACTGGCTCATCGCAGACACTGAACAATCAGCCTCTTGGCTCTCCTGGGCTCAAGGGGCCACTGGACTCTAAGCAGCAGGTGCAGGTGAAGAGGCTGTGATTCAAGAAGAGTAGAGACAGTGGTAGAGGAGAGAAGAAAAAGATTGTTGCAGAAAGAGAAGCAGGAAGGAAGGGAGGAAGGGAAAGGGAGAGAGAGAGGGACATCGGAGTGGCAGACTCAGAGAAACTCCTGGAGAGAAAGACTGTTTAACAAGGAAAGAGAGGGAATGAGGTAGAGGAGACCCTAAGACGGAGAGCAGAGGAGGGATGAAACAGAAATAAAGAACAGAGAGAAGGGGAGAGAGAGGGAGAAGGGTAAAAAGAGGAAGGAGAAAGGGGTGGAGAAGGAGGAGAAAGAAGGAGACAGAGACAGAATAAAGTACCTACAGGCAGATTGAGGCAGATGCAGGTGGCAGACAATGGACATTGTGGCAGCCATGGTCAGAGGCACTGAAATGGCCCTGAGGACCCACATTGGGACGCCCCTGCTGTTCATGGGGATGCTAATCACAGGTGAGTGGGATCTTGCCTTGCACCCAGTGTCTGCTGGCTCTTGCTTCCCACCTTCTCCCCTATACTGACCCTCTTTCCCTTCCACTGTTCCCAGGCCTGACCCAGTTGCCAATCTCTGCCTCAGTCCCTCGAGGCTTCTGGGCCCTACCTGAAAACCTGACAGCCGTTGAGGGGGCCACAGTGGAGTTGAAGTGTGGTGTCAGTGCACCTGGCAGTGTGGTACAGTGGGCCAAGGATGGCCTGCTGTTGGGCCCCAACCAGGGGATCCCAGGTTTCCCGAGATACCGCATGGAAGGAGACCCTGCTAGAGGTGAGAGGATCAGAGTCTGGGACTCTAAGCCACCAGCAGAGGCTGTGGTCCTGACCTGTGGAGTCCATCCACAGGTGAATTCCACCTGCGCATTGAAGCATGTGACCTCAGCGACGATGCAGAGTACGAGTGCCAGGTTGGCCGCTCAGAGACAGGCCCTGAACTCGTGTCTCCCAGAGTGATCCTCTCCATCCTGGGTATGGGTGAGAGACCCACAGGACCCAGGAGTCAGGGCTCCCAGCTCCTCCTCCCTCAGACCCTGGGTACAGAACTCATTTCCTGAGCAAGGAGTCTTGATCCAAATTTTCATGTCTTTCTCTGAGGTGGGGGCTTTTTCCAGATCTTTGTCTCTAGTTCCCCCCAAGGTGCTTCAGATGACTCCTGAGGTGGGGACCACAGTCACCTGGATAGCTGGGCAGGAATATACGGTCAGCTGTGTATCTGGGGATGCGAAGCCAGCACCTGACATCACCTTCCTCCAGAGTGAGTGTTTGTGAATTGAAAGGGGGCAGTGTGACACCCTGGAGTAGGGATGGGATCTATTCGAGAGCAGTGCCTTTTTGGCCCAGAAAATATGTCATCCCTGAGGTAGGCATCTAGGGGCAGGCAAGGGTGTTGCTGTGACCCAAATGCAAACTGCTGGGTGGGGGGAGGTGTCCAGGGGAGGCATCCAGGGGAATACAGCACTTCTGGACTGGGGACCTGGCCAAGCTGACACTCAGGTGAGGTATGGGCAGTGATGGCAGTGCACAAGTGAGAAGTGGATCGCTGCTTGGTCTATTGACTAAGAGCAAGTGTAGAAATGGGAAGTGGTGATGGGAGTGCTGGATACAACCAGGAGGGGAGGAGAAAGGAGAGACACAAGACACTGTCTCCCCTCTGGACTCTGGTATTCAAGGGGTCCTGAATGAGGGAGAGCACATAGCTGGCACCCCCACTAGGAAGGGACACTGTACCTACCCCAAGACTTCTAGACCATGCTTCCCAGATCTGTCTTTGGGGGAACCCATCATCCCTCCAGCCTTCTTGTTGCCCCAGGTGGACAAACAGTATCCAGCATCTCTATCGACGTGAGTGAAGGGTCCCAGGAGAAACTCTTCATCACAGAGGCCACAGCCCGGTGTGTAGGTTGGGAACCTCCTCTCTCTTGAACCTGACCTATAAGAGTCCCATACTTCAGGGGCTCAAGCATGGAACTAGGGTTGGGTATGAGTATCTGGGACCCATTTCTTTTTTCGAGGGAGACCCAATTCTTCACTTGGACACTCAAAATTTTGTCATTGGAACCCCAGTTCCTGGATATCAGACACAAAGATTTAGGCCAGATGTGGCACATATAAGCCCTGAATCTCTCCCTTGGAACTCTAGATCTTAGAAGAATTCATATGGAGACAGAAACCAGGCATGGGGACCTAGGATCCTACCTCTACACCTTCACCTTCCTAAATTTCAGATGACGACTCTGACTCTAGTAACCCAACTTCCTATCCCAGGGTGACACCCCAGAGCTTGGATAATGGGAAGTTACTAGTCTGTGAGGGGTCCAGCCCAGCTTTGGTCAGCCCCATCAAGGTCTCAATCACCATGAATGTTTTGTGTAAGTGGACAGCTGAGCTACTGTGGGCACTGAGGGTAGTAAACAGGATTTGAGGGTCCTGAGGGATCAGAGGGACCATGGAAAATTCAGGCAAAGAAAAAACATGAGAGTGCCAGATGTGATGGCTATAATCCCAGCACTTGGATTGCCTTGAGTTTGAGGCCAGCCTGGGCTACATAGTGAGTTCAAGGCCAGCCTGAACTACATACCAAAACCCTGTGTTAAGGCAGGCTATGGGGACTGGAAAGACTGGATGGGCTTCCCAGGTCTAAGTGCTGCTGGTCTCTAGTCCCCCCAGGACCTCCCATCATTGAGTGGCCAGACCTGAATGAGGGGCTTGTTAGGGCAGGGCAAAACTTGGAGCTGCCATGCACAGCCCGAGGGGGAAACCCACCAGCTACACTGCAGTGGCTGAAGGTAAGGACAGATGCAGGCATGGGTTTGGTAGGAGATCAGGGGCCAAGAGCTGGCTCTGAGCTGGTTTAGGCCTGTTCCTGTTTCCAGAATGGCCAGCCTGTGCCCACAGCATGGGGTACAGAGCATGTCCATGCTACTGCTCGAAGTGTACTCACAATGACTGTTCGACCAGAAGACCATGGAGCCCAAATCAGCTGTGAAGCCTACAACAGTGTATCTACAGAGACCCAGAAACAAAGCATCACACTGCAGGTCACCTGTGAGTTCTGGTATCAGCTGTCCATCTGTCAGCTCCTGTGCCAGTAAACCTTCTGTTTATGCCCCCAAATCATGCCTGTCTGATGTCAGACAGGCATGTTCCCCATCCTCTGTCTGTTTGGAGTGGTATTGAGGACCCCTGCCTGACCACAGATCTCTCCTCTGTCCATCTGTCCTGCAGTTCCTCCCAGTGCCATAACCATCTTGGGATCTGTAACACAGTCTGAGAACAAGAATGTGACACTTTGCTGCCTCACAAAGTCCAGTCGCCCGAGGGTCCTGTTGCGATGGTGGCTGGGTGGGCGGCAACTGCAGCCCACAGAGGAGACAATCATGGATGTGAGGAGGGGGCCAGGTCCTGGGTCCAAGCCAAAAGGGGGCTGAAGGCATGAACAAGGGTCTTGCACAAGGGCCCCAATTTCCAGGCCTGGGAGATGAGGAGGTGGACATGCTTCATGTGTCCCTGCTGGGGTCTAGGGTGGTGGAACAGGCCTCTTATATCATAATGGTGGCACCTCAGCCTCCAAGTCTGAAACTTGCTATCTGCTAGGGCCTGCATGGTGGTCACATCTCCATGTCTAACCTGACCTTGCTGGTGCGCCGGGAAGACAATGGCCTGAGCCTCACCTGTGAGGCCTTCAGTGATGCCTTTGCCAAGGAGACCTTCAGGAAGTCTCTCATCTTGAATGTGAAATGTAAGCCACTAACCTGGCCCAGGAACACTGCAGGCCCCTGAAACCTGCCCCCCCCCCAGCCCAGAATATCCTTCCTGCTTATCCTCCCAGATCCTGCTCAGAAGCTGTGGATTGAGGGACCCCAAGATGGGCAGCACCTCCGGAGTGGGACCCGGGTGAGGCTGGTGTGTTTGGCCATTGGGGGCAACCCAGACCCCTCCCTCACTTGGTACAAGGTTGGTGCCAGGCAAGGGCCGTGGGGTGGCCAGGCATGTGGGAGAAGGACAAAGGTCTCATCTCCTTCAAAATCGTGAGAAGACGGGGGCTGGGGATTTAGCTCAGCGGCATAAGTGCCTGCCTTGCAAGCAGGTAGTCGTGAGTTCAATCCCTGGTACCGATAAAAACGAAAAAGACAAAAAAAAAAAAAAAAAAAAAAAAATCGTGAGAAGACACAAATTTCTTGAAACATACTGGAGATTCTAGATTTCTGAAGGGAACTGGAAAAGACACAAATGCCATAAGGAAAATGGAATTCTAGGAATTCTGGGAACATAGTTTCCAGATAAAAGAAGGAATTCTGGATCAAGATTGGGAATTATACAGATATGGCAATTAATCCTATTTAAGTTAAAGGAAATTCTGGTGAAAAAAATCTCAAAGTTCAGGGAAATGTCAGAAATTTTACAGAAAGGTTATAAACTATAAAAGCTAGTTATTGGGGAGGGAAGACATAATTCCACAGAATATTGAAAATCTATTAATACTAAACTGAATTCTTGAAATTCATTTAGAAAATGAAATTCCATTAAAAAAAAAAAAGAATATTTAACAGACTTCTGGGGAAATCTTTTTTTTTTTTTTTTTTTTTTTTTTCCCGTCTTTTTCCCTGTACCGGGGATCATGACTGCCTGCTTGCAAGGCAGGCGCTTATGCCACTGAGCTAAATCCCCAACCCCATTCTGGGGAAATCTTGAGACCAAAAGAAATTCTAGGGGTGAGTTTACAGGAATGACAATGGAATTACATTTTAATTGAAAAAAAAATTGAGAAAATGCCAAGAATGCAACGCAGAGGATTCTAGTAAAAGATTAAGCCATTAAAGAAATATCGAGGAAAGATTGAGAAATCTGTGAAGAGACACTGGTATTAAGGGAAAGGTTCACCAAAGAGAGAGAAACTGGGAAATTTTCAAGAACAAGAATTAAGCAATACATGAAAAAAGGAATTGTGCACCAGACTTGGGAATATCAAGGGAGTTTCCTGGAACGTAGTGTTTGGCAAATAGTGCGGTTATAGTTTTGGAGGCTGGGGCGGGGGGGGGGGGCGCACAGGAGGCTCAGGGGAGGCGGGACAGACTGGGGGCTGGGTGTGCTCCATTCCAGTCGCACTCCTTTACCTGGCGGGGTACCCGCTGGTGGGGCCCTTTCCGCCCCATGGGGGCGTCTCAGGGCTGGGTGGGGGTGGTGGGGTTACTTGCGTTTCCCAGCTAGGTCTGGTCCACAGGACGCGCGCATCGTGACGGAGCCGCGGCCGCCCCAGGAGCCGCGGCGGGTGCAGCTGGGAAATCTGGAGAAGTCCGGGAGCACCTTCTCCCGCGAGCTGGTGCTGGTCCTGGGCCCACCGGACAACAAGGCCAAGTTCTCGTGCAAGGCGGGCCAGCTGAGCGCGTCCACGCAGATCGTGGTGCTGTGTGAGGGCCCACGCGGGGCCGGGAGCGGGGAGGGGCGGGGCCGGGAGCGGGGAGGGGCGGGGCCGGGGGCGGGGCGGGGCCGGCAGGGGGACCCAAGGCGGGGCGAGGCCCGGGGCCTGGAAGCCGCGGAAGTGGACCGGGTCACTCTTCATTTCTGAGCCGCTGTCTTCCGACCTGCTAAGTTCCCCCAACTAACGTGACGATCCTGGCCAACGCGTCGGCGCTGCGTCCGGGGGACGCCTTAAATTTAACGTGCGTCAGCGTGAGCAGCAACCCGCCGGTCAACTTGTCCTGGGACAAGGAAGGCGAGAGGTGACGGACGGCCACGCCCACCGGGTTATGGCCACGCCCATCCCCCCGCCCCTTGCGTAACCCGATACCCTGTCTGGAGCACAGCTTGCAAGACGTGGCTGCGCCGTCCCAGAGCGCCCCGTTCAAAGGCTCCGCAGCGTCCAGGAGCGTTTTTCTTCGGGTGTCATCCCGCGATCACGGCCACCGCGTGACCTGCCGAGCCTACAGCGCGGAGCTCCGCGAAACCGTGAGCTCCTTCTACCGCTTCAACGTGCTATGTATGTACACCGACAGGAACCCATTCTTTCTGTCTCTCTCTCTCACCCTAAACTACTCCAGTCTTCACTTTGACACTTGGTCCCTGTCTTGAATCTTGCAACTTTCCTAGTCTGTCTCCTGACCCTGCATGAACACCTATCCTGCTGAACCTCCCATCGTATTTTTGCCTTCTGTGACGACCCGTGACCCCTATCCTGACCCTTCTCTCCATCCTTAGACCTGACCCTAGCCCCCATACTCTTTATAAATTGGATCTTAATTTCTATCCTGAGGGGCTGAGGATTTAGCTCAGCGGCATAAGCGCCTTGCCTTGAAGTGGGTGGTCGTGAGTTCGATCCCCGGTACCGATAAAAAAGAAAAAACAAAAAATACTTTCTATCCTGAATATTATTCCTGAGCTTAGCTCACCGTTACTTTGCCATAATCTTAGACCTAGTTGTGACCCCGACATTAGCCCTTGAAATTGTCCCTGACCTCAGCTCTACCCCTGAGTCCGACCTGACCTTTTGACTCCCTATGGCACCCCCTTTGAAGACCCTCCGCAGTTCCTGGGGGAACAAGTGCTGGTGGTGACTGCGGTGGAGCAGGGTGAGGCACTGCTGCCTGTGTCGGTGTCTGCTAACCCCGTACCCGACGCCTTCAACTGGACCTTCCGTGGCTATCGCCTCAGCCCAGGTATGGGGAGTGGGCATGCAGTGGGATGCAGGTCCCTGATGGTGGGAAGGCCTGTCAACTCCTTACTGTGACTTCTTCAGCTGGTGGTCCCCGGCATCGCATTCTGTCTAACGGGGCTTTGCAGCTGTGGAATGTGACTCGCTCGGACGATGGCCCCTATCAGCTGCACTGCCAGAATTCGGAGGGCACCGCAGAAGCGCTGGTGCGGCTGAATGTGCACTGTGAGCCCAGACAGCGCTATTGGAAATCAGGGTCACTGGGAGTCCTGCCCACCTTGGAAGCCACACCCACCCAAGGAATCTTGCCCACTGTAGGGTCCCCGCAATATAGAAATTTTACCCACTCAGGAATAAGCACCTCTCTTAAATCCCTTCCACCACGGAACCCCTGTCCACTATAGACCCAATTTGGAATCTCTACCCAGAAAGGGAACCCACCTTTGGGAAACTAAACTGTGGAAGCCCGCCCTTACATGATTCTGGCCGCGGTTCCAATATTTACCACACAGGAATGGTAGAGGATGGGGACAGTCTCACCAATCCTGAGACTCTCTGAGAGTTCTCCTCCAAATGTTCCACATAACGGGCAAACTGTCTCTACTTTCCTAAGTTTTCTGGTCACCTATAAGATACCTCTCCTTCTATTCTCACAAAATTTGAAAAAAAAAAAGATAACTCTCCTACCTGGAGCACTCTCCCACCATGGCCTGTCTGAGCCCAAGTGCCTTTCCCCACGTCCTTGTCTTCCCCCAGATGCTCCTACCATCCGTGCCCTCCAGGACCCTACCGAAGTGGATGTTGGGGGTTCTGTGGACATAGTTTGCACTGCTGACGCCAATCCCATCCTTCCAAACATGTTCAGCTGGGAGAGGCTGGTGAGGACCTAAGCTTTGGTAAAAATGGAGGAGGGGGCAGGGGGCGTGGTTTCTTGATAAGGTTCTTGGGAGTACAGTTCACATCTGTGTGACCCTGCATTACTATATATTCATTGGAGTATGCCCCAGGAACTAGTGACTGTTGAGTGGCAGAAAAATTGGTGAATGAGTGAGTAGTTAGGTGAGTGGATAGGTGGTGGATAGGTAGACAGGTGGATGAAAGAGTGAAGTGTAAGATAAAGTGAAAGCAAAACGTGGGGTGGATGACAGGATGAGAGCATTGAGTGGATAAATAGATCAGATTAGAGAGTAGATGAGTGGATAAATACACAATCAGTAGAAATATATCTGCAAGGATGATGGTTGGATCAAGGGATGGATAAATCTGTGGCAAAATGGATAAACAGGCAAATGGACAATAGGCTGAACAGGTGCATTATGTATGATGTGTACATGTGTGAGTAAGTAGACAGGGTGAATGGATAGAGAGCTGGAGTTATAGATATTTGGTGCATTGAAAGAAGACCAATGATTGAATAAATGGATGAGTGTGATGAGTGGAAAGATAAGTGAATGAATGGATAGACATCTTTTAATGTGCCTCAGTCATGCTAGGGAAACTCTCTACCTCTAAGCTACATACTCAGCCTATAGAAATGGTTCAATGAATGGGTGGGCTGATGTATAGAGGGGTGTGTAGACTGTCCAAGGCGTGAGTGGTTAGATAAATGGATGAATGGTTGGCTAGTTGGTGAGGGAGTGGCTGAACTGGATAAGTGGTTGGATGATTGACAGGAGAAATTTTTACTTCCGTAGCTCTTTGGAGGATGATTATGGCTGGGAGAATGAGGCTAAAGATGGGACATAGTTTGGGGAGTGATGGACCTTAGCCCAGTCCGGGAGCCAATTCCCAGTCTTGGGTCTCCAGGAGGAAGATGAGGAGGAACAGAGCCTGGATGACATGAAGAGGATGTCAAAGGGGTCCACAGGGCGTCTGCAAATTCGCCATGCCAAACTGTCCCAGGCAGGTGCTTACCAGTGCATTGTGGACAATGGAGTGGCACCTGCAGCCCGAGGCCTCGTCCGTCTTGTTGTCAGATGTAGGTAAAACCCAAACCCCAGACTTTAGGCCTCCCACTAAACCCACTGCTTTTGTATCTTCTCACATACTTAATGTTGACAACCCCGCTGTTTTAGTTGCCCCCCAAGTGGAGCATCCTACTCCCCTAACCAAAGTGGCTGCAGCTGGGGACAGCACCAGTTCTGCCACCCTCCACTGCCGTGCCCGTGGTGTTCCCAACATTGTTTTCACTTGGACCAAAAATGGAATCCCTCTGGATCTCCAAGATCCCAGGTGAGCCCAGCCCAGGCCCAACCAGGTGATATTCCAGCCCCAGTTCCCCTCTCTGAGCATGTCCCTTCTCCCCAGGTACACTGAACACACATACCACCAAGGTGGAGTCCATAGCAGTCTCCTGACCATTGCCAATGTGTCTGCAGCCCAGGATTATGCCCTCTTCACTTGCACAGCCACCAACCCCCTTGGCTCGGACCACACCAACATTCAGCTCGTCAGCATTAGTATGATGGGTGGGGGCTGGGCGGATATTGGGAGGCTCCCCTTGGTCAACTCCCAAGTCTGTGGTGGCCCCAATCTTGAAGCGTTTCTGACACCTGACAGGTGTTTGTGAAGGAGGAGAAAGGTTTTGCCTGTTCTGAAATTCTCACGGGAGACTAGATCTTCAGGGAAACCCCCTGCCCCACATGCATGCTCACATGCATGCATGCACAAAGATGGGGACTTATTGGCTTAAGTTACTGAAAAGTGAGTTTTCAAGGGTTACTGAATCTAGAGTTAGCTGCCATCAGGAATTTTGGCCCAACTCTTAGGTTTGCTTTTCATACTGGCTTTATTTTAAGCCTTCTCATAGTGGTCTGTTAGAATTCCCAGAGGAAATAAAATTTTTCCTGTTCCTAACAGGTGTGTGGGAATTCTAGAATTAAATGTCATTGATTCTATTTGGGTTCCAGCTCATCAACGAACCAAGTATCTGGTCAGAGGAAGGCAACACTCTGATTGGCCAGGACTGGCCACATGTCCATCTTACTGGGACTGGGGTTACTTCCATCAGAAGCATGTGACCTGAGAATGTGGAAGGTGGTTCTCCATAGGAAGTGCAGAGTGTTAATAATTAGAAAAAAAAGATGAAAGGAATGACTATGATATTAGCATACACACAAAAATGCACTCCACAGCACTCCAAAGGCTAAAGCAGGAGGATATAGAGTACAAAGTGAGTTCAGGACCAGCCTCTGAATGGTATAGTGAAACTCTGTCTCGAAAAGACAACAACAAAACAACCCCACACCAAGAAATATATCAATATATATCTATATAAAGATATATAGATATTATCATCCTCATTCTTAAAAATTCACATATTTGCTAAAGTTTCTTTGTAATCTCCAAACCAATACTTATGGGACTCTTATGGTCACTTGGAGACATGTACTGAGGGATGAATAGTTTGAGTAATTCAGTGTGCATGTTCCTAGCTAAGGTGGAACAAGGTGACACTCTGCCTTCTTGTTCCAGATCTTGAACAGTAACCAACTGTCCTTTTTCTGGTTTATGAAGTGCCCTTTTTCACATTTTTATACTTTTTTGGGTGTTTTTGCTGTTTAAAATTGTCTCCAGCCGCAAAACTGAAACTATCTATCATCCTAAATGCAATAAGGTTGTGAAGTGGCTTATAGAAAAAATACATGTCGGGACTGGGGATTTAGCTCAGTGGCTTAAGCACCTGCCTGGCAAGCGCGAGGTTGTGAGTTGGATCCCCGGCACCAAAAAAGAAAAAATACATGTCTTATAACATAAATTTCATTCGGATCCAAGTGATATGCTGTTGACCACGAGTTCAATGTGGGTGAATCAACAATATATACTAAATAAGATACCTTTAACAGAAACACATATGAAATAAGATTGTGTATTGATTGGTTGGTGAAAATGCGGTGTAGAGAGGTCTGAAAGGCCCCAATCCCTCATTTCCCCTAGAAAGAACATTTGGTATTTTCTAATTCAGCACTCATAGTGACCTTATTGAAGAAAATAACCATGAATACTTAGAATCAATTGATTGATTGATTGATTGATTGATTGCAATAGAGTATTAAACCCAAGACTTTTACCTTGAGCGATATTCTAGCCCTTTTTATTTTTTTTAAATCTGAGACAGTGTCTAGGCTGGGGATTTAGCTCAGTGGTCTAAGTGCCTGCCTGGCAAGCGCAAGGTCGTGAGTTCCATCCCCGGTACCAAAAAAAAAAAAAAAAAAAAAGGAGAGAGAGTGAGACAGAAAATAATTTGAGACAGTGTCTCACTAATCAGTATGTTACTTGGGCTGAATTTGAACTTGTGATCTTCCTACCTTATCCTCCCACAGTGCTGGCAGGACAGGTGTACACCACCACAAATCATTCTTAGTAAAAACCTGGAGGAAACCTTTGTGTATCTTCTGACTGCTTCTCCCATACTTCTGCCCAAAGGCCGCCCTGACCCACCACTGGGATTGAAGGTGGTGAGCCTGACTCCCCGCTCAGTGGGGCTGGAGTGGAGGCCTGGTTTTGACGGGGGATTGCCGCAGAGGTTCCGAATCAGGTGGGTCGCTGTTGAGGCAGATACGAGGTGGCAGAAGTAAGGGTTGAACTGACTCCTCCCTGTCATGCAGGTATGAGGCGCTGGAGACTCCAGGGTTTCTCTACGTGGACGTCCTACCACCTCAGGCCACCAGTTTCACGCTGACTGGGCTGCAGCCTTCCACACGATACAGGGTCTGGCTGCTGGCCAGCAATGCAATGGGGGACAGTGGATTAGGTGCAAAGGGAATCCAGCTCTCCATCACTACCCCAGGTAGGAAGGGACCGCGTCGGGGAGGTTGGAGAGTTCCTCAGACGATTTATAGAGTGGAGTAGTGAAGTGGATTCTGTTGTTTTTTGCCTTTTACAGATGAAGCTACTAAAACCAGAGAAGATAAGTAAATGGCCAAGGTTACACAGCTAGGGAGAGGTGGCAATAATATTGAAACTCAGGCAGATGAGCTCTAGAGACCAGCTTTTAGCCACTATCCTGAGTCTCAAAGTCAGCCGAAAAGCTTAATAAGAGGATAAGAAATACTTACGGCTTATCTGCAGCTCTTAGAATTAATTCACAATCTCTATATCCATCCCCCAGGCCTGGACCAGCCTTCTGGAGAGCCTTATGACCAGCTGCCTACAGAGCAGCCTACAGGCAAGTCCTCAATCCTGAGTCCGACCTCTTTCCTGATCCCATTTCCACTTCCTTGTTGGTTGCAACTGCTTAAGACTCAGCCTTGTCCCAGTGGACTCTCATTTTTATCCTTAACTCATTTTATCCTCTCGCTTAGAGTGATACATTCTCTTTCTTCCTGATTTAGTTTAGCTCTAGAGCAGTTAGCTGAATTGGGAGGAGGCTGTATCAGTTAGCTTTAGCTACATAGCAAACCACCCCAAACATTGTGCATATAGAAAAACCACACTGTAGTCGGGCATGGTGGCTTACGCCTATAATCCCAGCACTTGGGAGGCTGAGGTGGAAGGATCATGGTGAGTTTGAGACCAGCTTGGGCTACAAAGTGAGCTCAAGGCCAGCCTGAACTGCATAGCAAGACCCTGTCTCAAAAAAGAAAAAAAAAAAAAAAAAAAAAAAGAAAGAAAGAAAAAAAACCACACTGTTTCCCATAATTCTTTGAGTCCAGTGAAACAGTTCTGGTCTGGGCTGGTTTAAATCACTTCTACAGTAAGCTGGCTGGATTGGGCCATGTGTCTGACTGTCACCTGTCTCGTAATTGGGACAATAGAGATAATAGCCATGTATCTCTCCTTGATTTGTTCACATAGAAGTGGTGACAGGTGTATGAGTAATGACAGAAAGGACAAGCTGCAGCTTGCTAGAATGTTCCAGGGGCCTAATTCTGTCACATTTACTTTTGCTTACTAAAGCTTAGTGAAGAGTCAGTGTGGGAGAGTATGATGCAACAGTGGATACAGGAGGGGAACTGTGACCATTTGGTGGACAGGCTCCTTCAGAGTTTGGAAGGAAGGTAGCAAGTGACAGAAATTCAGCTGTCATTGACACTAAAAAAGAATTGCTTGGTGAACAAAATTGAACATTCCAGGTGTGGCTGGATTCAGGTGCTCAAACTGTTCACTAGCAATCTGTTTCTCATGTCTCTTAATTTGACCTTCATCTGCAGTAGCTTCTTTCACAGATTTTTCTCTCAAGAGGGCAAAGAAGGAGGCAGCCATGGTGACACACACTTGTAATTCTAGCACTGTGAGAGGCTGAGGTAGGAGGATTGCAAGTTTAAGCCTAGCATGGCCATCTTAGCAACTTAGCAAGACTCTGTCTCAAAATTAAAAAAAAAAAAAATTTTAAGGCTTGGTATGTAGCTCAGTGTGAAAGACCTAAGTTCAATCACTAGTACTACAAGGGAGCGGGGAGAAGCCCTCCTCCACTGCCAGCTTTCTTTCTACCTCTTAGTGGCCCATGGAAGTATCCTAATTGTTGTGGCAAAAAGCTGTCCTAGGTCAAAGCTGGTCTCTGAACCAAAGGAAAGGGAGACAGGTGATCTTATTAGCCAGGCTAGGCCATGTGCCTATCAGGGAGTCCTGCCTGGGTCATAGGGGCCACAAGCGGGGAAGTGCCTGCTCCCCAAAGGAAAACAAATTCCAGGGCTGGGAAATGGATGTCAAGCAGATGTTTACTTAGAAGTCTGTTCTCAGAGACATGGCAGCCTGATACTGACTGAGGTGACAGTTGGTGGAAATAGGTCACTCTGCAGGGTGACCTGAAATGCACCTAAGAGGGAAAAACTTTGAGGACAGATTCTTGATTATTCTAAGGCTCAGAATTATGAGTTTGCTTGAGTGATTCTGGAATCTGTTGCTAGTGGGTTTGTGTGGGTGGAAGGTCAACAAAGGTCAATGATTGACAGGTAAGGCTGGAGCTATGGGAAGAGACCGGGTCACAGAGCTGACTGCCCAGCTGGGGAGCTGAGCTTCTCTTTTCAGTCCATAGTCACTGCTCAGGCAAAGGTAGGACCTGCTGCTAATCCCTTAACTTGGGAAAGGAGCCACTTGCTTCTGGGCAGCAAAAGGGATGAGAATAGAGATCCCTGCTCATTCACTTCTTTCATCTTGATCTGGAGGGGTTTTGATTATGAGGCACATTTTTTCTTTCTTTTCACTACTAGAGATCAAATCCAATGAGCTACACTGCCAGTCCATTTTATTTTTTTTTTTAAATTTTGCAGTACTGGGGATTAGACCCAGGGCCTTCATGCTAAAATATATCCTCAGCCCTTTAAATTTTTTTTTATTGAGACAAAGCCTTGCTAAGTCACTAAATTACCCAGGTTGAGCTTGAGATCTTGGTCCTTCTGCTTCACCCTCCCAAAGTGCTGGGACTGTAAGTGTGCATCGCCATGCCTTGCTGCCCTTTTTATTTTTATTTTGAACAGGGCCTTACTAAATTACTCAGAGCACCGGGCGTAGTGGCTCACTCACGCCTGTAATCCCAGCACTCGGGAGGCTGAGGTGGGAGGATTGTTGCGAGTTCGAGCCCAGCCTGGGCTACAAAGTGAGCTTAAGGCCAGCCTGAACTGCATAACGAGACCCTGTCTCAAAAAAGACAAAAAAAAAAAAAAAAAATTATTCAGAGTGGCTTCAAACTTGCAATCCTCTTCTCTCAGCCTCCCAAGTAGGTGGGATTACAGGCACGTGCCACCACACCCAGCTCGGGACAGGTTTTCCTGAGTCTGCTCGAGGCATAAAGCCCATTGCCTGAGGTCACTAAGGGACATCTTCTCCCCTGCTAGAATCCCCCAGACTGCCTCTGCTGCCTGTGGTGTTTGCAGTTGGGAGTCTTTTGCTGCTTTCCAATGTCTCATGTGTGGTGGGGCTCCTCTGGTGGCGAAGACTGAGACATCGCACTGAGGGTGAGTAGATACCCACTTCCTGATGGGCTAGAGACACAAGAGTGACGCAGAACCTCAGGTTATCACATGATGAAGACTTTTCTAGGGCCAAGTGGGCTGGAACAAGGTGGACTCTGACTCTTTTCCTATTTTTCCAAGGTATCTCAGAGAAGACAGAGGCAGGGTAAGTGGGCATGTTTTCCGTAGAGAAGTCTCTAAGAGAAGAGGTCTGGGGGTGACAGGCGGCAGATAGTATCCAACTGCCATCTCCATTTTGTAAGGTCGGAGGAGGACAGAGTCAGGAATGAATATGAGGAGAGCCAGTGGACTGGGGACCAGGACACTCGAAGCTCTACAGTAAGTGGGGTGGCCTGGACATCCTCGTGGACAGGGGCAACAAACTCCACCAATAGCTTCAGGTTAATCGTTGCCCTTTTCTGGATCTATGGAAAAGATTTTACTTGATTTCTGTGTGTGTGCACATGTGACAGGTTAGCACAATAGAAGTGCAGTCACATTACCACTCCTTGAGGGACTTCAGCCCCCAGCTGCCCCCCACACTGGAGGAAGTGGCTTATGCCCAAGGTGAGTTATAAAAATATCAGGATTTCTGCATCCTGCAGGACTGCTGCCATATAGGCCGGGTGCCCTAATCCTCCAACTTCCCACCCCACAGGTCTTGAAGAGGAGAACATGGCCTTCCCTGGACACCTGTATGATGAGGTGGAGAGGATGTATGCCCCACCAGGGGTCTGGGGGCCCTTGTATGATGAGGTGCAGATGGTGAGCAGATTTGTGTTACCCGCCCATGTAGGCTGATGACCCACTTTATGCTGTTGTATTAGGGTAATCCAGCTGCTATGACAAAGAGGCCTGATTAATGCAGGGTCTGGAGAGAACAGTCTGCTTCTTTTTTACATAGCTGTCAAAGGTGAGCCCTGCTGTACATGATTATTTGAGACCCAAGTTCTTTCCATTATGTTCCTTTGCCATCTCTAATCACATCCCTTGTCCTGGTCTATGTGGATAGGCAGATTTACTGGAGGTTTCAGCTACAGGAAAGGGGGAAAAGAGAATATGGTGGAGGTATAATCCAGCCTTATGGCCCAGGCCCAGAAATTGTACACACCCATCAGTGAGAACATAGTCACCTGGCCACATCTAACTGCAAAGGAGGCTAGGAAATGTAGTCTTACCTGGCAGCTATATGCCTCATTACAGTTCTGTTCTTATGGAAGAAAAGGAGAATATACTTCCTTGGAGACTTAGCTGTCTCTGTCACACTGGTTAAATAACTGAAAAGAAAAACAATTTGTCTACTCATTTGAAAAGTTAGGAGACATCCCATGGAATCGAATGGGGGGAAAAAAAAGAAAAGTTAGGAGACAGAATTGTCATTAAGACCATCTGGACACAGTGTTTTCTCCCTAAATATTTCTCAGCAAGTCCAGCTTGATGTCCTGCTAGGTTAGAAGTCTTCGAATAAACAGACTACCTATTTCTCAATGGCTTTAAATGCCCAACACTGACACACTGGTCTAGCTTGGCTCATACACTTATTTTTGAGCCAATCATCAGAACAGGTGACACACACTTGTGATCCCAGCATTCAGGAGGGTGAGGCAGGAGGATCACCACATTGTGAGTTCAAGGCCAGTCTGAACTACATAGCAAGACTTTGTCTCAAGAAACCAAACCAAACTAAAACAGGGGATAGAAATACCAATTGTACAGGTTTGAATCAGTGCCCACCCACGGGATCGGGCAATAGCAGCCAGCCCTACTCATTTCACTGGACTGAGAGTAGAAGGTGACAGGGAACCCAAGGAAAGTACAGACAGTGGTGGATTCATGAAAACAGACAGGAACATTGACCACCCACCCACCCAACTGTCTTACAGTAAGAGAGGTGGGGCAGGACACCTGATTCTCTACGTGGCCTTGCTTTGGCACCTTTAGACCAAGGAATTCCCCCTGTAACAACATCCTACCCAGATACACTGTTCACAGATCACAGCGCTGCACCAGGAAGGAAATATACTGTGTAAGCACTGTCCATGGTGCTGAGCCGTATGTGCCTTCAAAAGCACAGATGGAGTCTGCAGGGTCAGAGAGTAAGTAAATATTTTAGGCTTATGGGACATATGGCCTTCCTCCGAACTATTAAGCTCTGCCATGACAGGTAAAAGCAGGCATAGCTAGTGTAAAAATGATTAAGTGTGGTTATGTTCCTATGAAACTGTATTTTTGGACACTGACATTTGAATTTCATATAATTTTCATATGTCACAAGTATTACCCTTCTTTCAATCTTTCTCAATTTATAAATATCAAACCACTTTTAGCTCTCAGGCTATTAAAGAAAAATCAGGCAACAGGCCATTTTTGACTCATGGGCCAATCTGCTCTAGTTGGCTGAGCTAAACAACTGTTTTCCCCCAGCTCTAGAACAAAGCAACATCCCCAGCAAATATCAGCCTTTGTGGCCCTTTCCCTCTTCTGTTTTGTTGGAGAAACATTTTGGAAATAGATAGGACTAACAAATCATGATGTGATAACTCACACCACAAGCTTTTTAAAATTTTCATATTCTTGACATTTAAATTATTTTCCTGAGATGAAATCATGGGGTATCTTGGATTTGCTTGAAAATAATCCATTTGGTGGAAGTGGAGGATGAGAAAATAGAGATTTAGATAAATAAGAAGTGTACCCTTTGATAGCTCAGCCGGTAGAGGAAGGAACTGTAGATAAATAAACAGGAAATAAAGATCAGTACTGTTTTTTTGTCTTTTTCCTTTTTATTGGTACCAGGGATCGAACTCACAACTGCCTGCTTACAAGGCAGGCGCTTATGCCACTGAGCTAAATCCCCAGCCTCCAAGATCAGTACTGTTAAAGTTAGGTGATGAGTGAGACTAATAATCATAACCTCTCTCTGTGTTAATTTTCTCGCTGTTAGATATTTTCCACAATTAAAGGCTAAAATATATTTCCTGGGAAGTTGAGCAGGACAGTATGTCCCTTAGAGCTGTGGTTATGACCCATAGGTCCTTTCTCTGTGATTCTAAATCCACTTTTTTTCTGTCAGGGCCCCTATGACCTCCGCTGGCCTATGGACAAGTATGACGATCCAGGAAGAATCTATGACCAGGTGGCAGGAGATCTGGGCACGATGGGATCAGATTCTCTTCCCTTTGAGCTAAGGGGTGATCTTGTGTGACAGCCTTCTCAGCAGTCCTCTCCTGCATCTACAGGACATAATTCTCTACTGGACCTTTTCATCCCAGCCTAAGCCTGTTAAGTGAGCTTCATAGGACACAAAAGGATAGATTTTTTCTGAAGAGGCCAAATGAAGTTTGTGTAAGTGATAGAAGATGATTTAACCTAATGTCAGAGTATAAGCAAGTTTCCTCCTGGGGTTGGCCTCTCCAAAGTGACAGGGTTACTTGCAAATGCCATCTCAATGACAAAAAACAGAACCAGATATTGTGGCACGTACCTGTAATCCCAGCACTCTGGAAGGCTGAGACAGGAAGATACCAGCCAGAACAACTTGGTGACTTAGAGAGAGAACCTATCTAAAAAAAGAGGGGGACTGAGGGTATAGCTCAGTGTGAAGGCCCTGAGTTCAAACCCCAGTACCACAATAGAACAAAAAACAAAAACAAAACTAAGTTCATTTAGAGTTTGATTACATTTGAAATAGCTAATGGTTATATCCTGCCTATTTTTATTTCATTATTTTTATAGTATCAAAAACATGCTATATAAACTCTGACACATGTGCAAACATAAATAAACTCTATTGAGAGAAGGTAAATGCAAAAAGAATACATGCTCTATGATTTCATTTATAGGCAGAACTAATTTATCATACTCATGTTACACAAGAGAATGCATTGTTCTTGGGAAGTATGCACTATTATATATTTAAGGTTAGAGGATATTGTGGCTTCACTTATTCTCACACAGCTGAGAAAATATGTACAGTTATAAGGGAATAGAAAAGAATAATTTAAATGCAGTAAAATGTTAGCATCTGGGAATGTGGGTGAAATGTACATTGGAATTCTTTGTATTATTACTGGAACTGTTCTGTAGATCTGAAATTATAGAAAAATTAAAATTTAAAAGTTATCATAAGGGGCTGGGGATTTAGGTCATTGGCATAAGTGCCGGCCTAGCAAGTGCAAGGTCTCAAGTTCAATCCCTAGTACCAAAAAACCCCCCAAAACAAACAAAAATCCCACCAAAACCCAAAAATTCTCATAAAGATGCATGGCAGTATCATAGAAAGCAAGGGATTAGATGTGTTACTGGATCTCAGGTGTTACACTATTCTACCCAGCACTTTTCTTCTTTCAGTGCTTAGATCATATTCTGTCTGCATCTCTTAGCAAATTTCCTCCACACTCTCCTTGTGAATCTTTTGCTTTCTTCTTTGACCCTGATTATTGCCTGTCCAAGGACTGGCTGCCCCAATTCTATAGCACCTCGATTCCCAATCTGATGTACAGGGTCTTTATTCTGAATTTCAGATGGGCCAAATCTAACTGGCCCATGTTGGCTAAGAAAAAAAATCATAGGGCTAAATTGGTGCAACTGCCTAAAAAATCCCATTTGACATCATTTTTTGAAGTTGAACATTCATATATTCTTTTTTTTTTGAACATTCATGTATTCTGGGGTCCAACAATCTTCTCTTACAGTTATGTCTAAGAGAAACTTCTTCACATGTCCATAGAAGCTCCATTTAAGAAGCTCCAACAGTAAAAACTTGAAGCAACCCAAATGCTCATTAGTAAGTGAGTGTATATATATATATATATATATATATATATATATATATATATGCTGTTGAGTAAAGAAGTCTCCAGAAGTTATATGCAACATAATATCTTTCTTACCAAGTTAAAAAATGTTTAAAATGTCCTAATAATATATCCAAAGGAAACCAAAGGAAAGATAAACACATGATTGAAGATGTTATTTACCTCTAGAAGCCATGTTGACAGGGAAGATGATATGGTTGGATTTAGGTCATTGTAGGATGATAGTTTTGCAGATATTTATTATCAAAATCTAAAAAAGAGAATCCATATTTTTTAATTCCAAAACTTCCTCCAAAGTTACAGTAATCAAAACAGTATGGAGCTGGTATAAAGACAGACATACAGACCAGTGGAATAGAATAGAGTCCAAAACAATAAGCCTTCTCAAAATGCTTTAAATGAGGGAGGCAAGACTATTCCATGGGAAAAGGACAGCTTTTTAATAAATGGTGATAGGAAAACTGGATAACAATATACAGAAGAATGTATTTGGAGTCTTGTACAGTGATACTTCGGTTCACAAACTTAATTCTTTCCATGCTCCTGGTTGTGGAGAGTGAACCAAGGAGGTGCCACTGTACCATAAACTAAAATTAACTCAAAACAGGACAAAGACCTAAACTTAAGGGTTAAAACTATAAGACTCTCAGAAGAAAACCAGAGGGAAAGTCTTTAACATGGAATTTGGCCATGGTTTCTAGGATATGACACCAATTGCACAGGTAATAAAAAATAGAAAGCTTAGCCATTGTGAAAAATTATGGGAATGCTACATGCCTTTGGTGTCAGCTACTCAAAAAGCTACAATGGGAAGATCACTTCAGCCTGAGCAATACAGTGAGACTGTCTAAAAAGAAAAGAAAAAAATTTAAAACTTTTGTGATAGGGGCTGGGGATTTAGCTCAGCAGCATTAAGCGCCTGCCTTTGCAAGTAGGCAGTTGTGGGTTTGATCCCCGGTACCGATAAAAAGGAAAAAGACAAAAAAAACAAAAAAAACAAAAAAAACCACTTTTGTGATACGATTAACACTGGAGAAAGCATTTGCAAATCATACAGCTAATAAGGGACTAGTACCTACAACATACAGAAAACTCCAAAAACTAAACAATAAAAATAAAAAACAAACTTTCAGTAATGACCAAAGGATTTGAACAAGTATTTATCCAAAGATAAATAAATGGCCAAAAGGTGGTCACTAATTATTAGGAATGTAAATCCAAATCACAAGGAGATACCACCTCACATGCATGAGAATGGCTATCTTTTCAAGCAAGAAACTAGGCAATAACAATTATTAGCGAGGAGGTGTAGCAAATGGGAACTTCATGCATGAAGGGAATGTAAAATGGTTTAGCTGCTGCAGGAAACAGTCTGGCAGTCTGTCAAAAGATTAAATATAGAATCATCATTTGATCCAGCAATCCCACTTCCAAGTTTAGATCCAAAAGAATTGAAAGCAGCATCTCAAAGAGATATTATCATATCCATGTTTAAAGCAGCATTATTCACAATAGCTAAAACGTGGAGGAAACATAAGTGTCCATCAATGGATAAGGGAATCAGCAAATGTAGCATGTAACACTGTAATCTTATTCAATCTTAAGAGGAAGGAAGTTCTGCCACACGCTGTAGCATGAATGTACCTTAAGGCCTTACACTAGATAAAGTAAGCTAGTCACAGGACAAGTACTATGTGTTCCATTTATGTGCTTAGTAGTCAAAATCCTTATGACATACACTATAGAGGTGGTTGTTGGGCTGGGTGAAGGTAGCAATGAGGAGTTATTACTTCATGTATAAACCTGAGGATCAGAGAGGTGAAGTCATTTGTCTCAGGTCACACAGAGTCTATAATGTGAGCATTGCTGGAATTTGAACCTTGGTCTGGTAAGAATCCAATCTTCAAGGTCCTGGACCACAAAAATTTTCAGGCAAATATCACTTTCCTTGACCCTGAGTATAGAGGTTGAAAGTTCAAAATTGTCTTCAGTTTCCAGATTAGTTTCCTCAGTATTCAGAATTTATTTTTATGAGGTGAACTTCACTACCAGGAGTCTTCTTCTGATTTTTGCGTAGATTGGCATAGCTCCTGCAAAAACCTGCTTTCTTGGCAGGATGTGGTGGCACATGCCTGTAATCCCGGCACTAAAGAATTTGAGCGAGGAGGATTGCTGCAAGTTAAGGTTGGCCTGAGCTACATAGTGAGTTCAAAACTAGCCTGAACTACCTAACAAGACTGTCTAAAAAAATTATTAAGATGGTAAATTTTGTCAGGTGTGGTGGTGCATGCCTGTAATCCCAGCACTAAGGAGACTGAAACAAGAGGATTGACTTGAGCTTAAGGACAGCCTGGGCTACATAGTGAGTTCCACACTAGCATGGATTACATGGTGAGATCCTGTCTCAAAATTTTTTAAAAAGACGGTACACTTTCTGTATATTTTACCAGAATAAAAAATGGGAAAAAAAACCTCTACAAAAATACAAAAATAGGCCAATTCATTCTGACTCTTGAGGGTTTAGAAGGAAATAGAAAAGCAAAACAAAAGTGCTCAGGCATAACTACATGCTGTGCAAGAGTAAACTGACAAGCATTTTGCAAAAGCAGTTTAACAGTATCTACTAAATTAGAGCATAGGCTATCCTATAACCCAGTAGTCACACACCCGATACCTAAGCTTACATACATGAGCTAGGAAGTTTATTGGTGCTGGCAACAGGAAACCACCAAAGTGTCCATGAAAGAGTGACTAAATTAATTGTATAGTCACCCAGTGGATACTATGGCAGTGAGCATGAATGAACTACTGATGTACACAAAAACAGGGAAGATCTCATGAGCATAATAGTGAATCAAAGAAGTCGAACTCAAAAGAGAATGTGCTGTATGATTTCATCTGCTCAAAGTTAAAAAGACTAATATGTGGCGTTAGGAGTCAAAGGTAGAAAGAAATAAGTCCAGATTGGTTGTCTTTGGGGGGAAAGAAGGATAGTGATTGGAGCTGTAGGGAGAGCTTCTGGGGGCTGACGGTGTTTATTGAGAAGCAGATAATCACATGGGTGTGGTCATTTTGGAAAATTTATCGTGCTGAACTCGTGATATGGGCATGTTTCTTTATACATTATATTTCATTAAAATCTTTACGCTATGTTTCATAGGCAGCATTTTGATTGGGACTGTGACTTTCTTATATGGTGGACAAAAAAATCACTTTTATATCATAGTTTGGTTTCAAGAAATGCTGTTATATTTAAAATCATACCAAAAATGATCATATAAATGATAGTTACAATTGTATTAATTTTTTTGACTCACATGAATGCCTGTAAGGATGTTTTCAATGCGATCAGATGCCCACACAGTGCCCAGGTTTCCTGTCCAATGACTTTTAAAGGCTATGGCTGTCGTCTTAGGCATTGGTAACCGCCAAAGTTTAGGCAAGTTTCCAAAATTCCCATCAGGGGGCGACACCACCCCGCTGAAGAATCTCTGGAGGGAATAATGAAACCCTGAATGAGCCAGACCCTGAAATCTGCACGTGTGTACAGGGTTCTGGAGTTCAGCGGAGAGGTCTGTGCTGGTGGATAAAACTGGTGAGGGGTGTGGGTGTCCTGAGCGCGTGAATGGTCACTGAACCCGGATATTAAAGGATATCGCTGTGCGGGTGTTGACGCAGAGGGGACTCCGGGAGCACAGCGCCCCGAGGGATTTTGCTAACATTGCTGGAGAATAAAGATTAAGTCGGGAAGTAGTAGGAATTGAGTGAGATTGTTGAGATGAAAAGAATACATAGACTGTACTTTATCGGATAATGGGAAGCCATTCGCGCCCACAGTAATAGCGTTCGTGAGTTGTTCCCATGCCAGTGCATATTCTACATTTTGGTATGTATTGTTTCCGGAACCATCAAAATCATCCATGAGTCTGGTGTGTTTGTCATTCGGTGTCCTTTCCCTCTTTTGAAGGCCGCGATGCAGCCTTTCCTTGCTAAGCAGCGGCGCCCAGTTCTTTGCAAACAGGCTTTGGGCCTCGGAGGCGCACACTCGGAGGAGCCCCCGTTTCACTGGGTCTGTCAGTCTCATTCTTCACTCGCAGGGACTGGCATATGGATCGTCACCTGACCCGTCAGAACCCGTAGGAGGTGAATTCTGATTCCTGTTCTCCAGTCTAGGACTCTGCTTAAAACCTCTACTGTTAAACCTCTACTCAACAGGCGTGGTGGCACAAACCTGTAATCACAGCACTCTGGGAGGCTGAGGCAAGAGAATCACAAGTTTGAGCCCAGCCTGGGCACATGAGACCCTGCATC